ATACAGGTTGTTTAGTTTAAAAAAATTGTAATTGTATCTGACTCGGAATTGTCCCAACTAGTTTTGATGCTGTATTGTATACAGAGAATGGGAAGTTGTAAGGAACTAATTAGAGTTAATGGTTCATATATGGAGTTGGTCCCTTAAGAGATGAAAAAGTTTGTGATCTTCTTGTAAGTGTGGTGCAATGTTTTGATTGGATGGGTTGGTTTTTTTGCATTTTTTGTATGTTTGTTAACTTAATGGCCTTGGAGACTTTTTTGTATGTTAATAATCAGAAGTGTCATTTTACATACAACATAAGTATATTATTTCAACATGAATATTGAAGTGTGTGTTTTTCACTGTGTTTAATATATACAACATGGATCTATCAGAGCATACTTACTATTGTCAGAGTTCACAGTAGATTTTGAATGTTAAATTGATATGAATGTTGATTTGATTAATATCAAATCAATTAAAGAGTAGATCAGACTTATAATGCTGTTTATAGTAATGTTGAATTCAATTATATTGATATATTGGAGAAAAGCATAATACTGCTTTATTTATATATAGGAGCATACATGTAACAATTACTAGTTAATTGCTAATTAATTTCTAATTAATTGCTAATTAAAGAAGTTTCTGCTTCTACCGGTATATAGTGTTTAATGAAAAGCTTTTGCTGCAAATTGAAACTTTTGGAAATGAAACAACTGGTGCAATTAGCAACCAGCTTTCACCTATTGCACTGCAGTGATATTTTGCACATTGGATGGTGCTGAAATACATGTTAAGATTGGTGTGCAGCAGGGGAATGTATCAACACAGCTTTCATTGGCAATAAACAAGACATAAGACACATAGATATAGATACAAAACAGCTGTTCTGGCATGGTGTCTTCATTGAATGCTTGGTAGAAAATTGGCATCTTGGTGCAAAGTAATTAAACATATAATGCTAGTAAGTTTATAAGAATACTGAGACAAATCTTGGAGTGTTTAATGAGTGTATAATCTGGATCTTAGATAATTTATAAAATGTTATGTATATATATATATCACTGTAAATGTTTTCTGTGAATTGTTGTGCTTGTGATCATGTCACAAAAATGGTGTATTTAAGCAAGCTAAAACTGCAAGTATTATAAAGCAAGTTCTTGGATATATAAAGACTCTTTTTCTGTTATTGGTTGCTGTGTAATTGTTAATGATAATACTATGATTTATATTATTGCATTCTTTAAACTCCATCTAAAAACCATTTTATAATTATAATTATGCAATATTTCAAAATAACCATGATTCGGAAAAATCCCAACAAAAAAATTAACAACAACAAAAACCCAAAAACAACAAAAACAAACAAATTTTGTTCTGAAATGGTTAACCTTAAAACTTTCTATAGATGCTTAATAAATAGAGGGGGGGGGGAATCCAGTGTTGATCAGAAGCAAAAAATTTAAAGATCTGTTTGGTTAAAAAATATTTTTTTGTGTGCAAAACTGAAAATGTTGGTGATATATTAAGATGTTCATTATGTGCACTCTCACGGATGGAATGAACTTTAGGGACTCTGTTTCCATTTGTTTTTCACTATAAGGTTTTATAGCCCATTGTTTATGTCTTTTTCTATTGTAAATAAATCATTCTAATCAGTGAGAAACTATATTATAGAATACTTCATGCTGTGGAAGTGATAGTTGCCAAATCATCTCTTTTTGTTGTTCAATTAGAGAGAGAGTCTAGTGAAATAATGGTTGTAAAACATGATGAATAATTGTTGGAATGGAAATGAATTTTTGGTGAGATGCATTCAATCTGTAGAGAGAAAAAAAAGGAAAGGGAAAAAAAAAAACACTCGAAATGTCCGATTTTTCTTTTATAAAATCAAAGATATTCAATGAAATTTGCAGAAGAAAATGCCTTTATTTTGAATTGCAATAGTCACAAATTAATTATGTTTTGATACAAAAATCAGGTACATAAAATAAAATGGATTATCTTAAGATATATAAACCTTTGAATCTTTTGAAAACAAAATGGCAGCTACCACTTGCTCTTTAATAATTTACTGCCCCCTCTGGATTTAACATTCACCTCTCTGTAGCAGTTATTTAAAGGAGCAGCTGTTTAACTCATAATTTAATCAAATTATTACACACCTCATATAATAAGATGAAAGGATTATGAGATTCTTTAAAAGATTCCAAAATTTTCAGAGATTACCTGTATGTACTTACAGAAATTCTATTTTTAGAAATTCTATTTTTAGAAACTACAGTAAGCTGAGATTTTTGTGGAATTTTGATTAGAATGAGAACTATCTTCCTTTCTTAATACTCTGGATTTTCGTGTTTTCTGAATATATCTGCAGGCACATGCTCTCTGTCTTCATGCAGCCGGTAAAATACCTCCTGCTCTAGTTTTGCAGAAGAGATATTTTAAGCAGCTGCAGAAACACTTGATTTTCCACTTGTGAGAGTTAAGATTTGTGCTTGGGATTTTAATCAAACAAGCAACTTTGATTGATATAACATGTTCTTGTTTTACCTGCATTTAGAATAATTCTCATTAAGAAAAAGGTATATCTTTTGATTAACAAAAGAGGACATTAACTCTTTCAAGGCTAAATAAATGAAATGACTTGACCATCTTTCTGGACAAACCAAACCTTTCATCATTTTTAGGGAAAATTACAAAGTATTTACTCAGCTTATTAGACCAAAAAGAGAACTGCACAGTCCATGATTAGAAGGCGCGGTCCCATAGGTATATTCAGTTTGAACAGCAACATGGTAAACATAAGTGTACATGAAGTTTGCTAGAATATAATACCAAGCTTACGTATCATATCAAAAATTTTTGGAAAAAGGAAATTTTGGCTCTAGAAATAGCCCAAAACAGCCACTAAGGTAATATGTTTACAACAGTGAAGTCTTCAAATATGTAGCTAAAAATCCCGCCACTTAGTTGTAATCTGTTAATTCATGAATCAATGCATAAAATCAGACTTTGGCCTTTGTTGACCTTTCAGAGGTATTTACAGGCCTGTTAACCACAATTTGCAGTCTCCATATCAGAAGCTAATCAAAATGTGTGTATGTTTTCTCCAATTGTTTTGATGAATTCCTGGAAATGATGGATAACAGGATGCTTCTGCTCCTGGTGATTTACAGGAGTTAAAATGTGACTCATTGTATGGGGGAGGAATTGATTAACCCATGGTATCAGAGGGGATTTTGTTAATCCCCATGGTATGGGGGAGGAATTGATAAACCAATGGTATCAGAGGGGATTTCAATAACACCCATGGTATGAGGGAGGAATTGGTTAACCCATGGTATCAGAGGGGATTTGTTAGCTCCCATGGTATGGGGGAGGAATTGATTTACCCATGATATGAGGGCAGTTAATAAATCCATGGCATGGGGCATACTGTATAGACATTATGATATGGAGAAGGAATGTAAAACTCAGGTTATGATAGAAATATTATGGGGGAGGGATTTATGCACTGAGGGCATGAGGGAGGAATTTATAAGCCTATGGTGTGAGGACAAAGTTATGAATCCATAGCATGGCTGAGCAGTTTTTAAGATCATGATAATGAGGTTAAGAATATTAGTGGGGAAGAAAATAATAGAGCCATGGTTTATAGCTGGAATGGTAAACTCATGGTGTGGTAGAAAAAATAGAAATATAAACAAATTCCAGTATGGGGGAGGAATTATAAACCCATGGCATTGGTGGGGGGATTTATCAGCCCATCATGGCTTAGGAAAAATTATAGATCCTTGTTAATAATTAAGGAGGAGTGATAAACACATAATGAATAATATAAACAAAAACAGATTCTTGAGTAAAATGGGCTTTTCGCCATGTTTTGTTTTGTAATATTAACAACTCAATGCATAAGATCCCAAATGTTTATTACAGCCTTTGAAATAATTTGGTAAATATTTAGTTGAATCATCCTGTAGACATTGCCAATTTATTAAACATAATATGTATATTTCTTTTGGTACACAAAAAACAGATATTTTGATAATAGCATTTTGACACTCCTGATATCTTGTGGTTTTACAAAGGTACAGAGTTAACTATGTTATATACCAATTGAAGACATCCATTTGGAGTTAATCATCTGAACTCGGCCCACACAAAAATCTTCCTCCTTTTTACCTGGAGGTAGTTTTTGTGTACTTTTAAGTTGATGATTATAATAATGTAATTTATACATGGAAAGTTTGGATAATTTGTTTAATGCACTCAGTGTAATTTACACCTTCAAAATAAAGTCAAATGAGTGGATTAATCGATGCAATAAAATGTGACATTTTGCATGTGTATTAAATTCTTGTTAGAAATTCAGTTCCTTAAAAGTGTTAAGTTTGAAAAAAATTCTTTTTGAATATGTGTTAGAAATATTGAAATAAATAAATAACTATTGGAATATCATTGTGGAATAAAAACTGGATTTAGCTTAAAGCATCATTCTTCACATAATAGTAAAATGTACTATACACACAGTAAGTTTTTTAGTAATACTAATTGTAACCTGCCCTTCCCCCACATCCCTGCTTATCTTACTGTAAGGTGTAAATGAATTGTAATTTTCCTACTCAGTTAGGACTTAAATTCCTTTAAAAACAGTGATTTTATAGCAACAAATGACTGTTTTAATAGGCTTGTTCACTATTTGCCCTATTTTTTAAATGGTTTTAAAGTGAGGCAAATGGGGTTATAGTCAAAATATAAAAATGTGCCAATGCTAGATTCTGAGATATGTTTGTTCTTAGTCAGAATCTCGCTTCTAGAGGCAGATATTGCCCATACACAAAATGGCATTTAATATCTCATCGCGAAGTACAACAAGTTGCACTAATGGGGTTGTTGCCAACAAAAAATAAAAGTGCTTTATGTATCATCATATTATAAATACATACAATTTTATAGTTGAATCTGTGAATCACATATTCAGAAAATTATACCCATCCTTTGTATATTTTCAGATGTGAATGCTAACGGCCTTCATAGTTCTCATCACCACCAACAACAACACGGGGTCGACAGTTTTCGAGTAACGCAACTGGACCACTCATCAGGTCCTGTTGACGGGAGTCTTTACGCGCAGGTCAACAAAAGAAAGCTGGAGTCGCAAATCATACAGAACGGGCCGACCAAACTACAAAATGGCGGCTCGTATTCATCGAGCATAGACTCGGGTATTTCTGCATTCTCTGGTATTGTTCCCTTTTTTTGTTGCATCTTGGTCTAGAAAGTAACCATTTAGTTCTTCAGACATTTTAAATCAACTTTATGATTTGTTTGAACTTTTTTACTACAAAATGAAAGAAATAATGTTTTGTATTTTGTTATGAATATGTTTTTGTTAATAATTTGGGTTGAATTAACAAAAATTTGGATGCTTCGATAGTGGGCTTTTAATTTTCTATTTTCAATATTATGAAGCTAATAATAGAACAGAATGGAATTAAATGGTTACTTTCTTTTTTATCTAAATTCATTGTTGCTTTTTTCTATTCAAAATAAGGGAGAATTGATTGTATGGAAGTAATTATAGCAATTAGCAGTTCCTTTGCCATCTTCTTGCTAACATTAATTTTGTTTCATAAATTATTTAAGGCTCTTTGAATTTTTGTAAATCAAATTTGACGCTGTAAAAGTCACATGGCTACTTAATCCCAGTTTTACAAGTGCTTAGGGGGTTACCTCATGTGCCACTGCAAGTATTTTTTTGTGGCAAAAGTTGATAACCTTATAGCAGCACTGCCTTTCTAGCTAGGTGAATGAAGAATTTAAATTTTGATACAGTATTTGAACCGGAACCCAATGAACTTGACCAATTTGCATATGACCTAAAACGTGTTGAAAGCAGAGTAAAATCCTAGACATACAAACAAACTAAAAAGTTTACTACTTGGCTACGAAGCTGGGGGAGGGGGGCCTTTGCCATGTCACAGTTGCCTATAAGTATGATTGTTAAGCAGTCTAGCAAAATGTTCTAAAGCAACAATGGATTCACTTCTTACATCTTTGTACTTCTATTTTTTTTCTAAAATTGTGTTAAATTTGTAGTGAACCTATTTACAGTCCAATATTGTTGACCTTTTTGTCCCTATATTGCCATCATTGACATGGAAAGGTCAAGGTCACTGACAGTTTGATGATAAGTATAATGTAAATCAGAAACAAGTTCAAGGTCAAATATTGGCTATATTTTTGTTTGAAACATTGGTTTGTTATTTGATAACATATATTAACACACGCCATAACTTAAACAGTACTTGTAACGCAAGTTGGGCCAAAAGTTTTTGCAACATTATTGTTTGCCCTCCCCTGGTTTGTGCAACACTGTTAAGCAAATAATATATATATTTTTTTAATTATTAAAAAAAAAGAAGAAATATGTCACATGTTTCCACCTACGTTGTACTTTTATTTTTCAGTGCATGCTCGAATTTCTAATTTCTTCTCTCGTCTTTATGTACTGTGCATTTCATTATTGTTGTTAGTGTGTGATTGTGGTTTTATAATGCCTATACCTGTATTAATTACACATACTTGCCATATCAGGTATTAAATCATAACCTAAAAAAAATATTTTACCATATTTGGTATCAAACATTATATTATATTTTATGCTTTATTCACAAAATATAAAATTTGTTGTGATATTCGTTACATCATGATTTAAAATCTGTTTTTAACATGGTTGAAGTAGTTATCTGAATGAGTTATGTGTAAATGCCTTAGCATCAAATGTAGGCTTGTTGCAAATATGTAAATTTTTTGCAAAAATGTAAGAAAACAATTGTGTTTGGTGTAGGTAATAAAACTTAAGTAATGGCTTTACTTTATTTGCTCTTATGTGATCAAATTGCAGATATAGAAAACATATACCTAGAATTTAATGTACACTGTCAAAAAGAAATCAACGACTGTTCCATATCATGTTCATTGCTTGCCATTACACAGGCAAAGTTTTGTGGGTCTGACCATTTATCACATTTATTGGTCTGATGGTTTATCACATTTTTATTTCATTGCTTGCCATTATAAAGGCAAAGTTTTGTGGGTCTGACGGTAAATCACATATCCACATCATTGCTAGAAATGCTATGCCTACTTCTTACTAAATTTTGAAGGGTCTGGTTGTTTATCTCATATCTGTATCCATTTTATTGCTTGCCAATACAAGGGCAATATTTTAAGGGTATCACTGTGTATATAGAATGCCTACATACTTATTTTATTGCTTGCCATTACATAAGCTCTGACTGGTTATTGCCTTGTCAATTCGATTTTGTACAGGTTTTGTTAGCACCTTTATTTGTCTACATCTCTTCTACCATTTTTTATCGGTGCTTAGTCTGTTATCCAGTAGTAAGAGAAAACAGCAGTAATTTTTAATAAGCTCTTCTGAAATTATTGTTCTTCTTTTCCAAAAACTTGCATTTTATGGATGTGATTCTGGCTTTTACTATTGTTGTTTATTCATATCTTTTATCTGCATGATTGTCAACTTTGTCGTCTGCTTTTTTTGAGGAAAGTTTAAAGTTTTTTGAGACAAGTTTAAAGAACTATGATAAAAATGTCTGTAGTAAAATTACATTGCTTAGTTACCTGACTATTGCTTAAGTATCATATCATTAAGTCTTATTCATAACAAAATAACCAAATGAAAATAAAACTCTTGAAATTGATGTGACATATGTTGAATATTGCTCTGTATACAGTAGAACTTTGGTGAGTTGAAGTTGAAGGGACTTGTGTAAAAACAGATCGGGACTTTGACTCATAAATGGGTCTCATTTTAATGACAAATCAAGCATTTGATGTTTACAAGCGTGGTACATAAGGTGTAACAAAAGGAAAGGGCAATAACTAAACCAGCTTATAGTAAAAAAATATCCTGAGTGATTATCACCCTACACTGGGTCTCAGGACTTTCATTTTACTTTGTCGCACTAAAAAAAAATGGTCTAATCGAAGTTCAACTTGTTGAAGTTCTACTGTATTTAACAGAATTCTATTTGCAACATTTTGATATTTCATAAACATTTTGCCTGTGATAATCTTTACATGCTATGTAAGAATTTTTTTATAACTTATAATTGTATAATAAAATGTGTTTATTTTTCTTTCTCTCTTATAGTACCTATGGGGGCATCTACCACCCATAAAAGCAGTGAAAGTTGGTCTTATAATACACGTGAACGAGATTTTCATCAACCAAATATGTCGAGTATGAGCAAATCATATAGTTCTTCAACAAGTCCACGATCTGGGAAAGTGGCGCTCGATGAACAAACACAACTTGATCAAATTTTAAGTGACTTGCTAAACGATCAAGCATTCGTGAGTCAGAAATCTCCGCCGGGGACACGAAGTTTTAAAACTGTTGAAGAACATACAAGCCCTGAGGGCAATTTAGTGGTACAAAGAGGAGACGTTACTTACAAAGTGCCAGAAATGAGGTCAGAAAAACATTATACCGTGAAAACTGAAAGTAAAACTATTACTGATGATAAGTACAAACCAGTGAATGCATTTACCTATACACCATCTTCGCCAGAAATGTCCCGGAGCCCTACGAGCCCTAAAGCTCCATATAGAACTGATTACGAGAATAATTATAGAAAAGAATCTTACAATTACCAGACAAATGGTCCATCATCACTTAGCGATGGTGAACACTCGTTGTCATGGTTACAACAACAACAAGCTAAATTGCGAGAAAAGAGTACGGAACGTGACCCAAAACGTCAAAGAAATGAACAGATGATGATCGAAGAACTGAAAAAATCTCAAACTCAAAATAAATATTTTCAAAAGCGAGCGCAAAGTGAGGAGTCCTCACAAGTGTCATCTCCGTTACAAAATGGGCCCACTAGCCCGTATAGTTATACAATTTCACGTACTCATACATATAATACAGACAAATCACCTAGTGAAACTACATTTAGACCTCATGACACATTGCCAGTGGCTGCTTCGCACACAACATACATAACGGAGCAGCTTTGTCTCCTTCAAAAATTTAAAAAAACCTCCCCATCCCTATTTACGAGATTGTTATTTCTACAGTAATACTGCCCTGTCCCCCCCCCCGCGCCCAAATGTAGAGATTTAATGCAACCAACGCAGCACAGCCAAACAGACGCGAAAAGTCATATAGCGGGGGAGGTTACCAGCAGAATGCAAGCTCCTGGAGGAGTGAGACTCATACACAACCCAGGGTTATTCAGAGGCATAATTCTGAATCGACTTATGATCGTGAACATACCGAGAGAGAATCGCGTCCGCAATATAGGACTCCACCACTATCTCCAAGATCAGTGTCACCCCATACGTTTCAAAGCTATAAAACTGTGTATAAAACAGTACACCATGATGAACCGGACTTTTCGCAACCTCAACCGATAGAAGTTCAATTAGAAAAACAGATACAAAGAGAACAACAAACAGTTAAACAGGAAGCAAATAAACCCCATTACATAACAGAGGTCATAGTTCAAAGGACAGGAGGGTCAGGTGGGTAATTTATTTGTAACCACTGATATTAAGAGTTTTGTTTTTAGTTAAATATATAATTATTTTCTAATATATCGCTACCATACCAAGTTCAGCCATTCAGTTTTTAGCACAAATTCCCTTGTTTTTAGTAGATCATGGTCACCCACACATATACATTTCAAATGTCAATTTTAGCTCTTGGCATGTAGATGGCAACCGATTTTACCCATACCAAGATCTGCTGGCTTGTCTGTCCATCTGTCTGTTCAGTCTGATCATGGTCTTCTGCTTTTCAGTCAGTACAGTATATATTAATGGAAAATTCCATTAAAACAATAAAACGGTTTGTCCAGATGGAAAGTGTGGAATGGTTTCAGGGTTCTCACTAGGACTTTAAAACATGGAGTCCATGGACTCCCAACCCTGAAAAAGTTGGAGTCCAAAAGTGCGTCGCAATTAATATGTTTACAGATTAGTCATTCAATGCTCACAATAGCATTGCTGATATTTTGAATCTTCAAGAGACTGCCAAAGTGTATAGTTATTCAAAAGAAACTCTGAACTACATAGTATAATTATTGTTTTGTTGTTAGTATTTATTATGAAATTATTTCATTATAATGCATCAACACATGGAAATCGTTTTTTTTTCACTTTTATACCAAATCAAATTTTATTCTGGTTAAATAAGTCCACTCTAAAGACAAAAAAATTATATTTGTAAAAAAAAAACGTAAATGTATATAGGCAGCGTTTAGCGGAATGAATAGGAAAATCGTGTACAGCTTCACACAGTGTGTAAGAGATTCATCCGATCGACAATTATTTTAGCAAATATCTTCAAAAGGGGGCAAATTGAAGATCGATATTTAAAGATTTAATGTTGATTAAATAATAAAGGAACAATTCATTCGCATGTTTGGCTTGGAAACCGAGAATTTTTGCGAAATTTTAGGGTTTCTGGCGAACGTGAAATCGCCGATGTTCGGGATCATTTTTCGGATAGAATCTAAATATCAAAGAAAAGCGTATGTGTATTTTGGTTTGTTGTCCTGGCATTTCGGCACAATATCTTAAATTCTTAATACTCTTATAGAAAGTTTTTGCAAGAATGAAACTAAAGCAAAATTGTGCCTAGAAAATGCCGAAAATATTCGACAATCATTCAAAATTACACTCATTTGTAATTTGAGAAAACAGTCTTTAAACTTGCGGCGTAAATAGTCGATAATTTTATCCTTTTGTCGGTAAAATTTGCTAATTTCCAATCAACTGTTGATCAAAGATATAAAATTATCACCTCGTGTTATATCTGGTAATTACATGTACTGTACAGCGCGTGTATAACTATTGCGTGATAATGATCGGAAGCGTTATCGCTGATTGGCTAATCGCTTCACGGGTCGATGTGCATAGGACCGCCTACCTATAGACTGACACGCGCTGACGCATTTGTGTATTTGTGGTTGTAAACAATCGGTAATTTTATGCGTCCCCAGGCAAAATTAAGCGTACGTGGAATCCTTGCTCTGAAATATTTGCGTCCAGCTGTAATAAACATGCGTACCGGGACGCCGAAATAAGCGTCCCCGAGAACCCTGGGTTTAAGCTCTTCTTATCTTGTTCAAACATAAATTTCTGTGTTACTGTGAATTAACTATGTGTCTTCATTGAACAAATGCTAACTGACCTTTGTTAGATCAGTTGAAGGTCAAAGTTTGCAAGTCAGGAGTTAAATTTGCTGTCATTTTGGTACCAAACATTTGTTACTTTTGACAATCCAACCCTTTAGGAAAAATGGGGACTTTACCCCTTTGCTCAAGCAGCTTTGGTGTGGGTGAGTAAGAAAAGACTGGTGCATTTACTTTGGTAAATAATTATCAGAAGACCTTTTTTCATCATAACTAAAGTATATAGCATTCTCACACTGCAAAATTTACAGCTTAGAAAAGTTAATCTTTTAGGTCATAAAACATCTTACTACCTGATATTTTACTGCTTAAGGTGCATTTTGAGAGAGTACACTCCTGCGAAATTGGATTGTGTATCGTAATTTTATGTAAAAAAAAAAAAATTTAATTCTTGAAATGTTGTTGCATAATTATGCATGGATATGTATTCAAATCAGGTTTTTCGAACTTTTACATACTACATTAAACACACTGATGGTTCGGATGACACAAGTTTACATTATATACAGTTCAATATTGTTAGAGTAAACAAGGATTTTATGTAGAAGGCCAACTGTGTGTATACATATTTAAATATACAATAATGGAGGTGTTTAAACAATATGTGCAAGATGCTTTGGAAATTTCTCAGTGTCTAAGACAGAAAATTGCTTTGAAATAATAAGTGAGTAGTTAAACTTGAATTTTTACAAAGAAATGTGAGTGGAATATAAAATAAGTTTTCTTAAGTTTTTTGTTTGTTATGTTGCAGATTCTAAGAACAGTACTCTGAACAGAAATGAAATGGATAGGCAAGATACTGATAACCGTTTGGACGCCCTCGAGAAATCCCTCCAGGCGGCGCAACACTCTATCATACAGTCATCTCCATGGCAACAACAACAACAACAGAATGTTATGAAACAGGAAGTGCGTCAGTTTGAGACGCGTACGTACGAGACAAAAACGGAGCAACGCCAAGAGCAGCGGCATGAGCAGCAACGAGTGAGTAGAGAGGAAATTAACGGAGGTTATCCCCGTAGCATGTCGCCCGTGTGGGATAATTTTGAGCATGTAAGCATCCGTCACCCTGTTTAACCATGTAATTCATATATTGAGGTTAAAGGTCATTGTCTATATTTTCAGTTTCTTCTTTTATTGGACAATTGTATCTTAATATACAAGTTACAAGAATCACATTCATTTAAACTATTTTGCTGTAAAATTTGGTATGTTAACAAAAAATTAAATCAATAAAATTCTATGCAGTTCCGTTAACTAAGTCTAAAATTTTGTTTGTTATTACATGTATTATAATGACCTTGACCTCAATCGTACAGCAGAATACGCTTAAACTTTACCATGTTTGCGGCAACTGAATCTACCCATGTGACCACTGCATAGTGCAGACCTAGGTCAAGTGGCACATCCATGCTGTCTGATCACATGGTGTCCAATTTTGAAAATTTCACTAAATAATGAAAGTCTTGCCAAGATTGAAAGATGGATGTGTCTGTTTTAAAATACTTAGAGTGGTAAGGGTTAAAGTGTCTTCTGCTTTGTTTGTATGAATGATGTGAATGATTTTTATGTAAGCAGTTCTTACTTTTGCTGAATTTTAGTCAACTGTTATAAATGAAATAGTCTTTTTTTTACTCAGCTTCAAAAAGTTTCGTGCCTGTATATATAGAGGAATCTGAGAAATTCCTAAGATTAGAATTATAACTGAAAAGTGACTCTATGACAGTGTTTTTGTAACTTTGAATGCAATTAACCCTGCAGGAACAAAAGTGATCAGCCTTTGCCACTAGTACAGAGCCAGGCCAGTCTGCACCTCCATGTAGTCTGACCAGGCTCTATACTGTTAGTAGCTCAATTAATGTATTTAGATATTGAAATCCGGACTGTTTCAAATTCAAAGCTGAAGGATCCATTATAGATATATAGTAAGTTTAGGGTTAAGATATTTTTAAGCCTATTCACAAAATAAAAGAGCTGCTTGCACAAAAATGATTGTTAACCATATATATATATTAGATATGCATTAAATAATAAGCTGACTGCTAAAGTGCTATTTGCCATATTTTGTTTTGAATAAATTGTATAATGCAAGGGAAACAACTCTCACATACATTTTATATATAGATGATATAGAGTTGTCTTTCTTAGAATTTAAAAAAAGAAAGGGAAACAACTGTTATGAAATCTTTATTTGAGAGTCTGCATAGTTACCTAAGGTAATGTTGACTGTTACAAACCCATCTTTTCTTGTTATATTAACTTAAAGATGCACTCATTGCGAAAATTGTTTAAGATAATAAAACCCGAATAAAATGTGCTAAGATTTTAAGAACTAAGTAAAAAGTTGCAAGATTTAAGTAATAAGTTACATGTTTTGTGTGACTAATGAATGATTTTTGAGTATTTATTACCATATTTCTAATGTGTGAGTAACACACAGCCCTATTTCTGCATATTTTGACCTTTTTGCGGTAATTTATATGGATTTTAAGTGTTGTTTGTAATGTGAAAATTACTGTGTCTGCTTACAATGTTTTACTTTTAAATACATTTATAAATAACTTTTTTTCATTAAAATTAGCATTAATCTGGAGGCATGCTTCTTTAATATATCTCGTTGGGAAGATAATTCATATACTTAGTTATAACATGACAACTGTTTGTACATGTATTAAATTGTAAGTTAAAACTAAATTGCATAAATATTCTTTCAAAACCCTATAATTACATGAATAATCAAGGTTCTCTATTTCTATAAATGTTTTATTGACTAATGACAAGGTTTTGACTATTGGGTAGCACTGGAGTTTTTTGTCATGTAAAGTTACTTAATTTGTACCTAATGTGAAACTGCTCAATCAGTAAAATTTGGATTTAAAGATCTGCTTCTTAACCAGGGGTTGTGGATTGGAATCCTGTATGACCCCTGGTCCAGTGCTACATGTATAACAAATGTACTTCTTATAAATAGGAGTTAACCTGTTACTTACTAAGGTTATAGTCAGCACCGTTTGCTATTCTATCGGTACTTATTTAGAAATTTTCCCTGAAAATAATTGATATGCATGTTTTGTCCTGATTGAAAAATGGACAAGTCTAAGATATTTAGGTTGATAAGAGTTAAGGAAGAAAGCTTAAACATTTTTTACTAAACTTTAAACTTAATTCTTTTAGGAGGAATATAATTATGTTATAAGATGTTATCTGAAAGTAATGATAAAATCAAATTAAAAGTAATCATTCAAAGTTCCAAAGTTCAAAACTGTTTATGTAAAATTACAGGCACCTTATCTCTTAATGTAAGAATAATTTTGACTATCTTCCAACAATGACACTGCATATTGGAAGGTTTGAAATGTTTATTTGTGGGTGACTCATGTAAGTATGTGAAATTAACATAGCCCACACAAAATTTTAAACTTTTGATGGAAAATTGTTGCATAAATGAGAAGTAATTTGAAGATAATTTCAACCCTGTGTTCATCAAATTAAGAGCAAACATATTAACTTTGTCTGATATAATTAGGTACATTGTGGTGTGTAGATAGTGAATTTGAGACTTAATGATACAAGTCCCCGGCCCGGCCACCACTGATAATTATGAAAAAGTTGTTTATTTTAGTTGTAAGCTTTATACATTAAATGGGCTTATAAAAAGAATTATACATATAAAATCATTATCTAAAATGACTGACTATTAATACCTTTCAAACTGAAGACAAACGGTTAAATTACGAGAAAAATGTTTGATTTGTTGGTTGTGTATTAAGTCAATTATCTTGCTCAGTGAAGACGAATTTAGACAGAAGCCATCTTTAATTGGTTTAAATTATAAAAATTCCACATTCACCCACTACAAAACTCTACCAATGCCACCAATATTTAAACTCCTTCACCCTGAAATGCCAGTCCCTCAACCCACTATCAAATTCCTACCCCCCGTCCACTACAGATCTCCCTCCCTCAACCCACAATATAACTTCACCTCACTCCACCTACTACAGAACTCTACCTCCCAAACATCTAGCAAACTCCTAGCTCTGACCACCTTGTAAACTCCATGCCCTCCACCTTACAAACTCTAACCCTTCCATCCACTACAAACTCTCTCCATAAAATATAGAACACACAAGAAAATAAAAAGAAAATGTAAAATACAAAAGAATGTATATAATGATAGCTAGGTGCTGAGACAGACTTTGTCATCCATCTTGTCAGAGTTAATTATCTTGTTATACACAGTGACATATCTTGACAGCCAGTCAATTACCTCCTGGGTATGTTACACTAGCTCTTGTTTTCTTAATTATATTCTTATTTATACAATGAATTTAGATTATTTATACAATACTGTATTTTCTGAGGATTTGGTTTGAGCTTCTAGAGTTGCCTTTGGTTACAAAAGGTATATGTCACCATATGATTGTTCTTTGAACCCATCCTTGCCTTAAAAGATAGAATCTTTGCCTTAAAAAGATTGTCCTTGCCTTTGAAGATCATATCTTTTCCTTAAAAGATTGTCTTCTATAACAAGATTTCCTTTTCTTAAAAAGATTGTCTTTGCTTTTAAAAGACTCTTTGTCTTGTAAAGAATGTCTTTTATTGACTTTTCCTTAGTATACCGTAAAATTTCTATTAAACGCCCCCGGGGGCTAAACATTTTTCAAAAGGGGGGCCATTATTACGATACAGTTTTTCCTTAATCCAAAAATCACTGTAAATACATTTAGTGTTAGCAAGTGTTGGTAATAACATTAAAAAGTGTTAAGGTTTTAAAGTTCATATTATACATATTTGTGTTAACTATAAAATAAAATGAATTCTGAATGATTTGAATAAAATTATGGCTTTAATTATGAGTTCAGCACTGATGAATAGGGCCTTTATTAGGGGAGGGGCGTTTATTAGGAATTTTACGGTAAATCTTTTCATTGTTTTTTGTTTGAAATATCAAATATATAAGCAAATGATTGAGGAAGTTGTCTTTGCCTTGTGGAATGGTTGTCAAAGTAGTTCTGAATAAATGATTATCAATAGGAGAGGATAAGTTTCAGTTGAATATTGTTAAAATCAGTGGTTAACCGAGATCAACAATTGCGGCAAACATGATATTGACCAATCCATGTTGACTTCAATTTCAAAGGCTAATGTTTTTTAAATGAAAGGGCGTAGTGTTATATCAGTGGTATTAATGCACATATTTTTATACAAATCCGAGCTCTGCCTGATCAGCTTTTTAAGTACTTCCTTTCTTTTATTCAATTTCAAATGAAATCAGAACCGGCCAGATGGTATCAGTTTTATAGTGGTGAAATATTTTAGATCTTAAGTGTACAGTGTCTGTGCCCCTACTTATTTTCTTTACATTTGGAAATCATATATATAGTGGTATTTAATGACAAATAACCCCTTGGGCATTGTAACTTAGAAGCACCTTTAATTAGACGTTTTATCATTTGGCTTAATCTCTCCACCTTTATGGTTTAAAAACATCGGCCATATAAAACGAGCAGACTACTGCCTCGGGCAAACTACCTTTAATTTTTCAAGCTGTAATTTTTGCACACTAAACATCTTCAGTTTATCTTCTAGTACGGCTATTTAGTGTACATGAACCTTGGAAACCGGGATGTTAATGTATAAAAGTATACACGATTAAAAGTGATAGGATTCCTTTTTTAAATAAGAAAAAAAAAGGCGGATATTATTGTTAAAAATATACAAAGAAATAATAACATTACAGTATAGATCTATATTAAAGGTAAAAAGTGGAAGGATATTGAGTAATCAGGTGTGAGAATAGCACATTGTGACATTTGTAAACATAGTGGTTTACTATCCAACCATTTTAAAGTTTGTAAACAAATGTACATTAGCATTGGCTTAATGGAATGTGTTTAAAAGTCAAATCATGTGAAACAGATCTTCAGAAAGTTGTGGATTAAAACTTTTATGTTACATGTAGATATATATATATATAGATATATAGAAGGTAGGTTAAAATTGAATTTTATCGAAAAATAAGAAATGAAATGGCTTGTTCTAAATTCAACAGTTAAAGGTGTGTTCAACTTCATAGGTTAATATTACGAATGTGTAATGTTTGGGGGGGGATAACATTTTCATTTGTTATGATGGGAAAATATGCACAATTTTAATGAATTCAGTCATTTAAACTTGGTAGGGTTCCTGAAGGTGTAACATTTAACATCAAAGTGATTAAAGTGATTAAGAATACAAGATTTGATTATGAGTATTATTTTTTGTAAATCTACAAAAATTAGGATTAGGTCAAAATCAGGTTGTCATAGTTGCTTCATTTTAGAAATGTCTGCCTTTGTAGTTTACAGTTGCTCTTTCCAAGTTCCTAAGTACTTGGTTAGAGTGTGGTAGGGGGTTGGGCGGGAGTGAGGGAGGGGGGAGTTGTGCAAAGGAGGCATCATACATTGTCACCCATTCACAGTAAAGATCTTAGTACAGTGTCATGTAAAACACAACTAAAAGGAAAAAAAAACTTGGATTGGCCTTTATCTCTGTTCAATACTGTATACATTATCTTACAACAGAACTAAGGGCAAAGATAAATAAAGGAAACATTAGTAATTGGAGATGTGTTAGAAAGATAAATAAAGATAAATAAATGAAAATTGGTAAAATGTGTTTATTATAAACAAACTTGATTTCTGCTATGAAAGCACTCTAGGTCAAAGGTCACCATTAACCTGACTGGTGCATGATTTGTTAATGTACAATAGTTAAGGTATTAATAAATGTTGGAATTTACTGATAAATTTAAGATAATGAATATTAGGCTAGTTCTATAAGATGCATAGCTTCTGGATCTGCTTTCTCATACTGTACTGTCAAAAGGGAAACTTTGGAATTAAAGATAAATTTTGAGCCTCAGAAGTTTTCATTGTGTACAGATACAGAAAGATGCCTCAATTCCAGTGTCTATTTTGACATTTACAGTGTTGCTGAAACATTTACAATGTCTATGTTACATTTACAAAGTCTATATGGCATTTACAATGTCTATGTGACATTTACAATGTCTAGTATGTGACATTTACAAAGGCTATGTGACATTTACAGTGTTAATAAAACATTTACAACTTGTCTGTGTGACAATTACAATATCAATGTCACTTAAAAACCCCAACAAAGCTGAAATTTATTGAAACAAATCAATGAAACATTTAATTAATAATACTAAAATCATATACCGACAGTATTTTATGCTTCATCTTAAAGTTTATGTACATTTTAAAGGCATATACACTGCTGATCGCACGTAATTTTATACATAGAAAAGAGAATTATTTATACACTTAAGGAGGCTTGAAACTTTCTCATTGACTTTGTTAAGTAACAAACCGTGAAATATTTCACAAAAGGCTGTTGAAGACTATAGTAATACATTATGATTGTAGCCTTAATAAATTCATAAAATGACATAGCAATATGACTGTAGCCCTGAGTTATATACGCCTAAATTGTTTATTTTGATCGTACTTTATCATATAAGTTTGCTTGTTCATTCATTTTAGAAAGATAGCTGTAATCAATAAAACCCGGCTTAATCTCTTATTTTAAATAATTACAGGACAAACTTTGTTTATTGGTTGTCTGTTACAAGGTTGTATTATTGTTGACAAGGTTGACAGTTTAGTGCCTGCATTCCTTATTGTAATGTATATATAGAATTTGATACCCCCATCTTTACTCTATATTACCCCATATTTTTGTCATATTAGATTCAAATTCAAACTTGAAATTGAAGTTAATAATATTAATTTCATAACGATAAAATCTGGCCTTGATAGTCTCTATGTAAGTGCATTGTATTGCCAAGTGTTTGCCAAGGAGGGAGAGGATGGGCATTTATTAAGCATGTTTGAACTTAAACTTAATGACTTAATGCAGAAAATTAAAAACATTGTAAGACAAGCTTTTTTGTAACAAGAAAAAAAGAACAATGTTTAGTGTTGTTTAATCAAAATTATTATGTTCAGTGAACTCAACTGGATATTTACACTAATTGTTTGTTATGATGTAAGAAGTATCACAAGCATAAAGTCCATGTGCAAAATTGTGCATATTATTAAGGCTTAAATGTAAAACCATATCAGGTTTAAAACTTGTATTAATGTCCATGTGTTATTAAGGCTTAAATGTAAAACCATATCAGGTTTAAAACTATATAAATGTCCATGTTGTGCATAAAAATTAAGGTCTAAACATTGTAAGACCAAGTGAATTTTTTGACAAGAATTTGTGTCTAAATTGGTTTTTAAATTCCAATGAGTGCATTCACTGGAGACTTATATGATCATGTTAGAAAATGCTTAAAAATTGCTTTAAATGCATTTTAATGTATTCATTCATAAGATTGTGTGGGAAAATATCACTTAATTTAGCTTTCCTCTCGTGAAATATGTAAATTAGATTGTAATTATTCAAACTTGAAACTCTTGACTTTAAAAGCGATCTGGTACTAATCTGAAAATCTATAAGTGTCTACTTTCTACGCAGAAACAAACTTACCTAATAAACTCACCTATAGATTGGCTAAAAAATGGTCTATTCAAGGTTAATTTAATTGTTTGCAAAACAGTTTTCCGATTTTTATTGTGCTTTTATTGGAAAATAAAGACCAAATTTAAGAGATTTAGGGTAATATATTATATTGGCTAAAGATCAACAAGTACATATGGGCAAAAGAAATTAAGAGGACAAGATTCTCAGCAGTTTAGGTGTGCTACAGGCACATCTGTACAAATGAAGTCAGTTAAGCAAAGGGAAGCAACTCTGTACAAATGAAGTCAGTTAAACAAAGGGAAGCAACTCTGGGTGCAGCAAGTTGTCTTGGCTAAAATCATTGTCATAACCTTCAATATGATAGTTGTTTAATTGTTTTCAATGACATTTACCTGTCAGTATTTATTAAATCATTAATGAATTGCTCCGTACATAAAACATTTGTGCACTAATAAATTCATGTAATAAAAAAGAAACAAAGCAAATTATAATACTTCACACTTAAAGATAACAAAATAGAAAATAATTTAAACAAGTTGAACTACTTTGCATGCTACAGTATGTTTTAGGTGGGTTTTTTTTTCTGGGTTTTTAATTTCAAGGTTCTTTATTCTGAGATAAGTAAAATGATAATTATACCTTTATTTGGCATTTTGCCAAGATAAAACCTAATTGCAAAACTTCTGAGGACAGGAAATTAATTCTTTGCACTGAGTTAACCTTTGCAGTGAAAACTTAATGATTAAATGAATTCTGACTTTATGATGAATGTTTGTGAATATCAGTTCTGACACAAAATAGGTATGGTATGTTAAAGAATATTTAGGGAATTTTTATAAAATTTTATAGGTAATTATACAATACATTGTGATTTTATGTTGAAATAAATTTTGTAATAACATATGGATTATTGTTTAAAAACAGGCAAGTGTTTTTAAATTTAACTATTTATTAGTTGGCTAAACTACATTTTCATGTTTTAAATTGCATTTTTGTTGGAACAAATGCATTAGTGTTGTAAATTGTTCACTAATTTTTAAAAGCGTAACAATATTATTGCATCAAAAACCTCTTTTGTGTGTGGATTGTCATAAAAAATGGCATGTGTTTTTCTGTAAATGTAATATATATTCCATAAAAATAAAATGCTGAGTATATATTTATATGCATGAAGGCTGATGTCAAGGAATAAAAATTGAACGCTATACTCAAAACTGTGCTATTTATATTGTTATTAAAAGATATACATAGATCTGTTATGCGTCTAACACTTGTTATTCCTCAGCTGCAGATGCATGATTTGTTCTTTGAAAAATGTATAATAGCAAATCAAACTGACGGTATTGTCGAGGAATTTAGTGATTTGATTTGATGCCAATCTTGATGTCTGCCGAAAATGTTCGGGCCTGCGCATGTGATGAGTTGTTGATGTAGTCTGCTGTTTTTATGTAACATTATTATAATATTATACAAAATACAATTCAAACAGGTTTGATAGAATTTTTCCTTTAAAAAATTGTTCATTACATTGTATTTGATAAATAAGACAATTTTCTTATGTTAAATGCATTGGAAAACAATTCCATAAAAATCAAGCCCATTGTCAGTGAAGGTCAAAGGCAGCTGACTTATTATTGTATTTGATTTTTTTTTCAGATAAAAAAAAAAATTTCAATGGCCCAAATAAATCTTATAGGTAAAGATGCACCTGTACAGTTTTCCTTCACTAGCAGAGTTTAAGAAGAAACAAGAATTTGAAATGATGTAAAGATAGTTTAAAACAGATCTTGTTCTATTGCAGGTGCAGCAAACACATGTTGAGCCTAAAAAGATTGAAGTTACTGAAGAAGATCGCATCACGCTGAAGCCAATAGGCCCAGGAGTTCAACAGTTGGAGCCTGAAGGCTCGCACTCTGGCAGTACCCTAGGGAGGGACAGCACACTTGGTCGTGCAACCACGCCTAGCTTCCCAACAAGTCCAGGAGTTGCATCTGCAGGTTAGTTTTGAATTAACTGTATTAAAATAAACTAACATTTTTTATTATTTTTTATCTCCCTTCTATGACTTTAAATATCATATGATTATATTATGTTATGTGCCTTAAAAATTACTTTATATATTATGTTATGTGCCTTAAAAATTACTTAATATATAATGTTATGTGCCTTAAAAATAATGTTATGTGCCTTAAAAATAACTATAAATGTATAATAATGTTATGTTCATTATTGACCATTTCCTTTCTTATATTCTTTCCCTTAAATTTATATTTATTAAATAATTGTATCAATAGAATGATAAACTTTATAAATACCTGTTGTACCTTAAGCTTGGTTTGTTACTATCTTTGTTTTATACATATAAGATGAAAACTATTAAACATTATCGGCTTACAGAATAATCCTCGAAAGTTTGAAATCATGCTTGTATTTGATTGTATAAGAAGAAAAAAAACAATTTTAATTGTTCTGAAGTATGCAATAATTAGAAAGAATATTGTTGATTTGTAATTACTGTTGTCATGGCAGCATTGTTTGTGTGTCATGTGACTCTATCATGTGATTATCATGTGACTGTCTGCATCCAGTACCTTAAGTAATCTTTGAAGTCTCTACTGCTTTATATTGTGTTTTGAAATTGTAAACTGTCCTTGGTGTCCTAGATATCTTTAAATAGACATAAAATCATATGGTTGTGAAATTTGGGGGGTAAATATCCAGTGTGCTCCTAAGGATTTATCTTGCTTTTTAGAAGGGCTGCATTTTTGTTTTATGAATAATTTGGATATTTTTACATACTAATAATTAAATTTCTATTTCATGCTTTTTCTTGATATTAAATTATTAGTTTTATGCCAGAATTTGCAGTTTTAAGCATTTCATTATTTTTCATAACAGTAGCTTTTAAAAGTTGGATTGTTCTTCATTTTTGTTTTATACAAAATACTAAAAACAACTCTGATTCCTGTATTTTCTCTATGTAAAGTGTCATGGAATTTAAGGATTAATTCCTGGATATACAAATTGACTGCATAGATATTGCAGGCTGTAGAAAGAGTATGCAGTAAAAGGCATATACTTTCTTAAATTAGATATGGTAATTCTTGTCACATATGAAAAGCGCTCTGATCACAACTTTAATGTTCATCAGAATTTAAAATATAGTATTGACCTTATCTAAATGACCTTGAAACTAATTTCTTAAAATTATTGTGCAGCCTTGGATAAACCCCTTTGAAAATATCCCTCCTGAAACCCTTTTTCCTTTTTTTTGGAACTTTACTTTTATTACCAAATTTGACCTTGAAAACTTCAAGTTGCATTGAAAATTGTTGAAAATTCAACCTTTGCAAATGACCTTGAAATTCATTTTTCTTTTTTTGGAACTTTACTTTTATTACCAAATTTGACCTTGAAAACTTCAAGTTGCATTGAAAATTGTTTAAAAATTTGACCTTTGCAAATGACCTTGAACTTCCTTTTTCTTTTTTGGAACTGTACTTTTATTACCAAATTTGACCTTGAAAACTTCAAGTTGCATTAAAAATTGTTGAAAATTTGACCTTTGCAAATGACCTTGAACTTCCAGTTTGTATTGAATATGGTTGTAAAATTTGACCTTTGCTAACAACCTTGAACTTGTTTGATTTGTACAGAGCACATAATACAAGCAGTGCATGAGAAAGCTCGTCGGATGTCAATAGGTTCCTCTAACCAATCACTGAATAGCATTGGTGGTTACCTTGGTAAACATGATTATTTTGTTACCGTGGAAACACATAAACCATCATATACCCATGTTGCATTTTGCCTTTTTGTATCAAGCATGATTTATTTTGTGTTCTTTTTTTCTTTCCCGCCTAATTTCCTTATATTGTTTTCTCTACTGTGTTATAATATTGTATGCCTTGACAATTACTCTTTGATTTCTTGTCCCTGCACACTTTCTGCAGATGAAATTTGTAGCCTTGTGTTCTCACTCTTTAATATTTAATATTATTGTTTTTTTTTGTTTTTTTAACTTTTTGATATTTTTTTCAGTAAAAAATTATGTGTGTTGGCATTTTAATTTTTTTTTTCAGTAAAAAAAATATGTGTTTGGGCATTTTAATTTTTTAAAGAAATTGACAAATGTTTGGTTTGTGTTTTTTCTATCTGTAAGCATGGAAATAATTATTTTCTAGCATGATGTGTTAGTGACTTAATTGTGTCCCTTTTCTCTTATGTTGTTCTCAAAGTCAAGGAAATAAAATGAATATATAAAAAAGTTCAGAATTAATTTAAACCCCTCTAGGAAAAGATTCTACCTTGGCAGCCAGTGCAGACTAGGATTAGCTGGCACATTTGTGCAGTGCCATTTGATAATGGTCTGAACTGTTCACTTATCAGTCAATACATATTTTAAATCTCTTTTTCTATAGATGATAAATTTTGTCCAGATTTAAAGATGGACAGTTCTGTTTAAGATATATAGGGTGATATTGAGGGTTAATTGGAAAGAAGCATAACTGTAAATATCTGCCAAAACCAAAGATTTTCACCAAAAATAGAGGGAAAATAGCACTTGTACTTGTTTAGTTTATGCTCCTGCACTGGAATTTTTTATGAAACAACTTTCATTTTGTGAAATATTTTTTTCTCTCATTTTCTTTATGTGTTCTGTTTTATCTATCTTGTCTATAGTTAATCAGTGTTTTCAAGCAGATATCTATTATATATGGTAGCATGTACAGTATAAATGGGTGACATTTATTCTGTGGAGAAGTTAGACAGTATTTAAACAACTATATATATGAAGCTTCTGTTGTTTTTTTATTAGATTAAACACTTTACAATTCATATTTTAATGTTTTTTTGTTACATGAATAATTATTTTGTTCAATTGTGATGTCCCAAAAAAAATATTTGAGCTTAAAATAAATAATACATCAGATTATGTATCAGCAAGACTCTAAGAACAAAAAAATATTGTAATATTATTGAAGTGACATCAATTGTGATTGGTTCATACAAATATATCATTTCTGTGAAATTTAGACCAATGAAATCTTGTTATACATTATTAAACATCTATGATATGGTAGTGATTGGTTAAAACACTTTTCACTCTATAAATAGTGACCAATGAATGGTTTCAAACAAGTAACACTATAAATAGTGACCAATGGAATGGTTCAAACAGGTTACACTGTATAAATAGCGACCAATGAATTTGTTTAAACACATGAAATTGACCTATGAATTGCTGTGTTGTATGCATGAACTGTGATTGAAATTTTGTTTTTTGTATATTTGTGTTGTAGCGACCCCACCATTTCCAGTTACTCCTAGGACCCCGTATACAAATATCTCAGGTATATAGATTATACACTATTTTTATTTCAATTATTTATTTTTACCTTCATCCCATATTTATATTGCAGCTGTTTGAGTAGTTTCAATTTTTACATCACTTTTTGTTGTTTTTGCATGCTCAGTAAAAGTGAATATGAAAAATAACATTATGTTTATGGAACATCTTTGTCTATGTAAGGGGTTATAACATTGCTAGGAGATTATGTGGATTAAGATGAGTCTTGCCATTTTTAGTTTGGAGACTTTGGGAAGAGATATCTATGTTATTTTATGTGTTATTTTTGTATATTCACTTTTACTGAATATTGAACCTGTTTAGTCAATGGTATGATGGGTCTCTTTTAAAATCTTTTTCTAAAATATCACAAGTTTAAAAAATCTAGCATGTTTTAGAGTTGTTGGAATTTTGGCATGTTCTATGCGCTTTTGATTCTCTTTGTCAGTGAGGTACAATTGTGCAGTTTTTTGTTGTTGTTTTTTTTTTGGGGGGGGGGGGGGTAAGATTTCCCTTTTGTTAAATGTTACAAGATCATTTGCATTGACTGATTTAAAGCACAAGACTGTGTTAATGAAAACACGAATAGGAATGCAATAATGGGTGACTGAATTCTTGCAACCAGTGCAGACCAAGAGGAATAGCCAGCACAATTCCATGGGGTCTAATCTTGGTCTGCACTGTTTGCTACATAAGTCAGTATATATTTTGAATTTTCCCCTTAAATGATGAATGTTTTTTTCCAGTTTGAAAAGACGGACAAGTTCATTTATGATAATTATTTAGGGTGCTAAAGGTTTATTGTTCTTTCATAATTATGGTTTAACAACAACTGCAATGCAGGAAATGTTATCATGTCTATAGCCTTTTGGATAAAGTAACTTTATGTCAAAATGTTGAGTTTTATTTTTAACTTCTTATTCAAAGCACCATAATGTTCTTTCTTTTCTTTGCATGTATATAGTTTAGTTATGCACCAGTTATATTCAATCCGGGTACCCTCAACACCCCAGGGTAATGCGGGGTGGGGTATATTATTACAGTTTTTACCATGGTTTTGCCCCAGTGGTGGTATTGTTTTGTGCCACAACAGGGGCAATAATATTAAAATTTTACAACACACAGTGTGGGGGATTTTATTGCTGCACTGTTCCAGCAGGGAGAGGCCAGTATGAAGAATATGATGATTGTTAAGTCCCCTTGTGAGGAAGCCTGGGTTTCAAATTAGACTGGTGCATTATTTGTGACTGATGTTGTTTTAGAAAAAAATAATCTTCAAAGTGTGATTGATGGGGGGGAACCAGTCAGATAACTTTCACTTTCTAAAACATTAAAGATATCAGACCAAAGGTTTCAGCTTTAACAGCTAGCCATAAAACATTTTTGAAGATCTGAGACAAACAAAAAACATGTCTCATAAGTAATCTCCCATGCAAAATGAATTTGAAGTGTCTATTGGTTATTCTCCTTTAATCACACACATTTGAAGAGTAACTTCCCTTGGTTTGATTGTACATAGCTTGTTTCTGCACATGTAGTCAAAGTTGAAAGCTACAGTGAACATGCTTGCATGATGCTTTATGCAATAAAAATTCTTATTTTGCTACTTTTGACATTTTTTCTTGAAAAATGAAATTGTTATTTTGAGCTTTTTTTTCGAAATCCCGAAAAATCCGAACTAGAATTGAAAATTACTGATCGAAATTGTTTTGGATGCTTGCATGTGTCATTAGCTTACAGCATTGAAATATAATTGGTTTGATGGGTTTTCTTTTCCTATATAATCGCATCACAAAATTTTTTTTTTGCTTTGTGACTTATTTAGTGTCAACGGGTCCCTACCACCTTCAAAGTCAGTTTAACCGACCCCAGCAGAGCCCCTTTAACTACGGGTCTTCTGTAACCTCGGGACAGTACAGTTCCCAGCAGTCTTTGAATAGCGTTTTTGAACGTGACGAGCCGAGGGACCATTACAATACGATAGTCTCTAGGCAGCTTATGCGTAGTGCCAACGATCCTACTTACGCTTCTATAACAGACCATGAATTTGGGAATGCTAAAGGTATCTTGTAAACATTTAGACGCTTCGTGCAGTATTTGCTTTTACCCTCTCTGAAATCTTTTTTTTTATTTTTATCATTTCTTGTAGCATTCTTTTGGTATTTTGGTCTTCTTTTTTTTTGTCTCTTCGATTTTTAGTTTTAATTGGTTTTGGTTCTTTTCACTGACATATATTGTTGTTGTTTCTTTTTCTTCTCTTTTCTAACTAGAGCACTTAAGTGATATTATGTTGAAGTAATTATAGTATTTTATAGTCATTATTTTGTAGAGTTAAAAAGAAAAACTAGTTTTAAATGATTAAATAACTAGATTTTAAAAAAATATTTTTTTTAAAAATCATTACGCTTTGCATTTTCTGAATGTGCTTCATATATCTATTTTTAGAATTTCTGTAGACACTTTATCTAGAATTTAACATAGTCATTTTGTTTAGGATATAATTTTGTTTAGGATGAATAATTCAACAAAGTTATTTAGTTTTACACATCACAAGGTTGTTAGTGTTCTTGAGTGATTGTTTAATACCATTGAATGATTGAATGACTTGTAGGTTCTGGGAGGTCTGATAGTGGAATAAAAGTCAGTAAATATGCACCTATCTCATGCAAAGAACAATGTCTCAAAGCTAGTGATTTTTATAGTCATTCAATTTTGTAAGGAAATATAAATGTTGTCCAACAAACAAAACTTTGAGATTGATATTTTTCAATTATTAGCAATGTCACAAAAGAAAAAAAGATGAAAAAGTCAAATGTAACTGTCAAATATAGCATGTGGCACCATGACCAAGTGGTTAACACACTAGACTTGTCATCTAAAGATTGCTGGCCATATGGGTTCAAACCTGGTCAGGAGTCAAGAAGACATTGTTTCCTTGAACAGCTGAGAAGCTTTACAGCTTCTTCCTTCACTAGCATTCTAAAATGAATTCTATATAAGCTTAATATAATGTGGATTTAAAAAGTCGTACAAAATGTAAGATAAGAGGTCAAAAACCCAAAAAAACAAAATTTTGAATTTCTTACAGAAGATCAATGGGGAATCTAAAACAGAAAAAGAAAATTAAGAAATAGACTCAGAAATAAATTGGATGCTGTTCAATTTCAGTCATATCTCACAAGTGGAATAATTATTCTGGAAAAAAATGAGTGATCAAATGATCTGAAATTTTGCACACAAGTCGCTTATTTATACCTTCAGCAAAAAATTTAAGCAGTTTCATAACATACACAATCATGTATATGTACACAAAATAACTTGTTTGTGAGTGATATCTTGTAAACTAAAAGATGTCCTGTCAGTTACTATCTGTATACAAAGTACTTGTGTATGATTACTGTATTTTTTTAACACAAAAATGTTCTAATATATTTATGTTTGTGAATGTCCGTACACAAGAAACAAAAAAAAAAGTATCTGTGATGATATTTTGTATTTGAATGTTTTTAGCTCGACTATACGAAGTATATGGAGAGCTGCCCAATAGCCCCGGCGTCGGCGTCCGCGTCCAGATTTTAGATTAAAGTTTTGGTGCAGTAAAATATTTTTCACTATAACTTTGTCATTTCTTAAGGTATCAACTTCAAACTTCATATATATGTTCCTTATCATCAACCACATCTTATGTGACAAGGTTCATAACTCTAGCACCAATATTTTCAGATTTATCTCCCCTTGAACTTAGAATTTTCCTTAAAAAATACTATTTTTTACTGATACTTCTTTATTTCTTAAGGGATCAACCTCATACTTCAAATATGTGTACCTTATCATCATCCCCATCTTATGTGACAAGGTTCATAACTCTAGCACGAATATTTTCAGATTTATCTCCCCTTGAACTTAAAATTTTCCGCAAAAAATACTATTTCTTCTTTATTTCTTAAGGTATCAACCTCATACTTCAAATATATTTACGTTATCATCATCCCCATCTTATGTGACAAGGTTCATAACTCTAGCACCAATATTTTCAGATTTATCTCCCTTTGAACTTAGAATTTTCCATACAAAATATTATTTTTTACTCTAACTTATTTATTTCTAAGGGGATCAACTTCATACTTCAAATATATTTACGTTATCATCATCCACATCTTATGTGACAAGGTTCATAACTCTAGCACCAATATTGCAAGAATTATCTCCCCATAAACTTAGATTAATTTACTAGAAAAATGTTATTTTTTATTTTAACTTTTTTATTTTTAAAGGTATCTACCTCAAACTTCAAATACTTATTCCTTATCATCAATTACATTTTATGTGACAATGTTCATAACTCTTGAAGCAATATTTACAGATTTATCTCTCTTTGAACTTAGGATTTTCTTTAAGAAATATAATAACTTCTTTTTTTTTTAAGGTATCTACTTCAAACTTCAAATAGATATTTCTTATCATTACACAAATGTTGTGTGGCAAGGTCCATAACTCTAGCATGACTATTTCTAGAATTATTCCCCTTGATCTTGGAATTTATGTTAACAAATGTTATTTTTTTACTATAACTTAATACATAATTATACATAATTGATTTTTCTTTCATAGTTTGTCCTCCTTACTGCGTCCAGTATTTTATTAGTCGAGCTTCGCTGTCTCCTGTGACAGCTCTTGTTTTAAAAGTCCTGTTTCTGTGTCTTGGATATGCCAATATAAAACTTTTTTTTTTGGGGGGGGGGGGTCATTGTAACAAATACATGGAGTTTTTGGGGGATGAAAGATGGAAAAAAAAATATAAAAGGGGTAGCAATATTTTTGACTGCTGTGTGCTGTTGAATTTCCTGGTAGAGGGTGTGGTGTTAAACCTTGTTAAGGCATTTGACCTGGGGCTCATGGTACACAACAATCTACTAACAATTTTCTCCTGAGTTTCCTTTTCTACAGTCAATAATAATATGGTTGTGAATAATTGAAATAAATGTATTTTGATTGAAATTTCTATATTTTTTATGACATTATAGTTGGTAGCAATGTGACAAGCCCGACTGGTACCCTACAGTCTGAGAAGATGCAATACCAGACACAATATAACACTCAGCAACAGTCGTACCAGACAAACACCTTGCCACATGGTGGACAGCCTCTAGCCAGCCAGCAGTACTTGACTAACACACTTCCCCATAGTGCACCACAACCTGTTAGCCAATCATTTCAAAGCAGTACCTTGCCACATCAATCCGGATTCAACCAGGTGGGTGACTGACAGAAAATTATTTCCTTTATCTTAAAATTCTAAAGAAACTTCTAAACCTTAGGGTTATGAGCCATATCCTTGACCCCTACATCATTTTTCTTGACCACATGACTGGTATAGAATAGTTTATTAGTTTGCATTTGAAACAGTCATTTTTGCTTTAATTTATGCCATTTTCAAGTCGAAATCTACTCAGATATGTAAGAAGAAGTACAAACGCAAAGTAAAGGAAGTATGTCATTCATTGATTTAGATTATTGTTTTGTAACAGCAGCTGTCACATTTTATTAACCTGTTGATAGTATCATACAATCAATGAAAAAAAAAATTAATACAGTTTTCCTATACAGTTGAACTTCGGTAAGTCGAAGTTGGAGGGACTTGTGTAAAAACTTCGACATATCGGGACTTCGACTCATGAATCGGTCTGAATTTCATGACAAAATTTCAACCGTGACTAGCCCTAATTATAAGATCTATAATGTAACCTATTTCATGTTTTTCTTTCATTCATTAATCTGATATTTTACATTATACAAAGATAAATATGACATGTTAAGTTACTTTTCACGGCTAATGATTTGGACTCCCTGTTGACGTGACATATACAATGAAGTTACAAAAGGCGAACAATACAAAAGGGCAATAACTAAAACAGCTTATAGTAAATATTTCGCATGTGATTTTCACGCGACAACGGGTCACGGAAATACTCAAATGATAAATTTTACTGTTTACATGTACTTTCAAATACCGCTACAGCAATTAAATAGTAATGATTAGAGCATTTTTCACACATTTAAACGCATACAAAGACTGTTTGAACACTCGGCTGTGTAATTAACACCTGTCCCTAAATTTGATCGGAAGTCGTCTTCGCGGCCAGAAAAGGTTTGAAAATGTCTCGAGATCGAAGGTGTCAAAATAACCGAAGAACTTCGACTTATTTGTGGTAAATTGTAGATTTATTATATACGGACCACAAAAAAACTTCGACACATCGAAAAACTCGACACATGAAATCTCGACTCATACATAGGTTTTTATAAGGAATATATAAGGGAAAAAATCGGGATTTTCATTTTACTTCGACACATCGAGAAAATCGACTAACCGAAGTTCGACTCATAGAAGTTCTACTGTATATAAACATTGTAAAAAAACAACACAGACTCTTGTTGATGTAAATCAAAGTGTGGTTTTTGTATTCATAAAATTTAGTTAAACTTTTGATTATTTTTTTTACTTTACTTATGAACAAATCTATGGGTTTTAATTGAAGTTAGATTGTGTCATTATCCCAGCCCTGTTGTAATAATATTAGCTTACCTTTACATTAATGGTTCTCTTTTAATGCCCTTTGAAGGAAATTTATCATTTGAAAATATGTTAGCAAAGTTTTATAAACTATAAATTTCAGCAGCAAAATCAACAGTTTCAGCAGCAGCAGCAGCGTCAGTATCAGCAGTACCAGACAAGTTCAAGTCAGCAGTACAGCACTCAGCAATACTCAACTAGCTCGCAGGATGGCAGTCTTCACGTAGACACAAACCCCAGAATGTTGATGACCCAGCCTGCTAGATCCCCCTCTTCTCCAGGGAGGTAAGAAAATTACTCTTCTCCTTGGAGGTGCAAAAATACAATGCAGTTTAAACTCTTCACCTAGGAGGTGCAAAAATACAATGTAGTTTAAACTCTTCAACGAGGAGGTGCAAAAATACAATGTAGTTTAAACTCTCCACAGAGGAGGTGCAAGAATACAATGTATGTGAATCATGGCACTAGAATAAATCATTTACAAATCATGTAAAAATACTGTTGGTATTAAAGTTATATTGTGCACATCATCTTGGTATATTTTATCAGCTTGGAAACTGGACATTCCAAATTTCTTTGAAACTTATTTAATAGTTGAATTCCAGATATTACGCATAAATTATCATTATTAATAAAATAACTATTGGGCCATTGATAAATCTTTTGTATTAAACACAAATAACATTCTTATCAATTCTCTTATTTTTTTCAGCCCACCATCGCCTGGTAACTTGAATACATTACGGCAACAACTTCATGTGGCCCACAATATGTCAAACAATGCTGTAAGCCCAGGCCCACACTCGGCCACAGGTCAAAGTTCACCGAGCGTCTACTTCGGTCTCTCAAGACGTGGCAGTCTCACCTCCCTAGCTGACTCCGAAGCGATGCACACTACACCTAGATTTGTTAAAGATACGTCAAAATACTGGTACAAGCCGAGTATTTCCCGAGAAGAAGGTAAGTCTTGTACAAGGTTACGATGATGGTACAAATATGGGCTGCATTTCATTTGAAAGTCCTCAGTCTTAAACATATTTGTTTAAAAGAAAATGTTCTCACTTATGAGACTCTTCAGTTTCTGAATAGCAATGTAGATGTCTGATGAACATTTACACATTGCGGATTGGAGCTTGTGCCATTGTATTTTGTACTTTTTTTCAGGAGAATGAATTAGAGTCTTAAGCATTTATTAAAGATTAAAATATTTATTGAAACAGTCTTAAGTTACTCCTATAGTTTGTCATAAGTTCTAGGAGTTATGTAGAATTTTACATGTATTGTGTATTGAGTGAATAATAAAATCTTGAAAATCTTGCTGTATATGATAAAACATAAATCTTTTTTTACCCCCAGCTATAATAATGTTGAAAGACAAGGCACCAGGTACTTTTGTGGTCAGGGACTCAAACTCTTTCCCTGGGGCATTCGGACTTGCTCTGAAGGTTGCAACCTTGCCACCAAATGTCCAGACTAAAACCACAGGTGACCCCCAGGCTGACCTGGTCAGGCACTTCCTTATTGAGCCCACAAGTAAAGGTGTACGTCTACGTGGCTGTTCAAATGAACCAGTATTTGGTAAGTTAAAATATATATTATATGAAATGAATATAATAACTTACATGAATTGTCATTTCAGACAGTTCACAAGTTTAATCTTGTACACGATTTGAAAACAGTTTCAATATTGCTTAATAAACGTATGCAAATTTTAAATCAATAAGTGATTGTAGCTTAATTGCTTTTACAGTAATCATTATAAGTGTGCCAATGAAAAAATAATTCTTTTTCACTTTAAACAGTCTTACTTTGGGTATCTGATAAAATTTTATAAAATATTATTATATTCATGTAGGCTTATTACTGAATTTATTGAACTCCTTGAATAAAATAATAGCGAGCTCGACGAGCTGGCCCGAAGGGCCTGCTCGCAAAGCGAGCTTTACGGTAACGCGAGTACCTGCTAAGTGATGGTTTTGAAAACTTTCGTCCAAAGTACCGAATCGGACACATCGCAACCTTTCGAATTTAAAGATAACGATAAAAACTGAGGAATTCTGAATGAAAACGGATGTGTAGACTGGTCACCCGCGCACGTCTATGGGAACCATAATTGGTCAGGGAACCAGAATAACGGAAGCTGTGTATAAAAAATGAAAATCGAAGGCGCCATTTTGTTTGAAATCTGATAAATAAAAACAATTTTTTGTCGAATTTTGTTGTGAAAACTATCTAGAATGAAAGAAATTGGTCTAACTAAGAAAATGAATCCGAACACCAATATCTTTTATTCAGTCGTTAACGCTGTACAGACATTTAAAGTAATGTTTACGTGACGTCACAATGTAGCGCCAAACAGCACGTGCAAAACAAACAAATCAAGTACGCTATTTTAATGTCGCAAACGTTTTAAGTTTTACATTTATTTCACTTTAAATAATCTTTATTTCGCTTGAAAAATTATAGAGTGAAATAAAATAAACAAAGTTTTATCAACGTTTTCAAAACTCGTTATTCATTTCACGACAGGGGCGGAGCCATATTTAACACAGTACGTGTGACGTCACACGCACTCGTTACTGCATTTGAAATTAAAATGAGCGATTATTTCATACTATTTCACGTAAAAAGTACATCGAGCTCGCTTTGAGGCTTTGCCTTTTTCATATTATTATGCTTGCCAGAAGCTTACACATAATATAATTTCCTTCAACTTGTTCAATAAATTCAGTATTGAATTTACATTCATTCACTATCCTCTAAAAAGACTATGTAATTATATCATCCATTACTGAATAATATTTTTTAGATGAATGAAATTAGGTAATCAAGCAATATTCTGTATTTGTTTTTACAGGATCATTGGCATCCCTGGTTTACCAGCATTCTATTACACCTCTGGCATTACCCTGTAAGCTTGTATTACCTGAACATGGTGAGTGCAGTCTTATTCATTGAGAGGCTTTATTATGATGTAATCTGTGTTATTGGGCCACTCTAGAGGTTTTGTAATGACTTAATCTGGGTATTTGGGAAGCTCTAAAAGCTGTGTTCTGACTAAATCTGTGTTATTGGGCAACTCTAGAGGCTTTATTATGACTTAATCTGGATAATTGGGAAGCTCTTGAGGCTTGATTATGACTTGATCTGTGTTATTATGCAGCTTTATATTGCCTTTCACTTTCTTGAAAGTTTGATAAAATTCATCTGGAATACAGAAAAACATGATTAATTTATATTTTACTCATGTTTGGTCCTATAGAAGTATGAACAGTCAAAGTGAAGCATTGATGATTGAATGTAGTAACAGGACATATTTGAAAATGTTTCAGAGGGCAGCACGAAATACCCAAATATTGCCCAAATATACCCAAATAATGCCTAAATATACCCAAATAATGCCAAATTATACTAAAAATATATGTTTCATACTATAAAAGTGCTGTTTTAATCATGAATACAATATACTCATTCACTAAGATATAAGCAAACATACCTAAATATACATTTTCCTATCATTGTGTTTTGAACATGTACACCGTTAAAGCTATTTTTTTAAATAACATGGACACTTGTATATGATATGAAAAGTCAACAAAATAACACCTTAAAAATGTTAGTGTACTGTAGACAACAAATACCATATCTTGAGTTAAAATTGCAAGTACATCCATAAAGAACCTATATAGTAGATAAGAAAATGTCACAACTTTATTTTCTTACAACATCTTAACTGCCCATTTCAACGGAATGAATGAAAGTTATAGCAGGCTAAGTCATATTTTTTTATAAATATTTATTTCTCATTATAATCTATATTTTATACAAACAAAAATAAATATTGCTATATTTGGGTGTATTTGGGTATTTCGTGCCGCCGGTTTCAGACTGCATTTAATTGAAATGTTTGTGGAGGGCAGTGGTAAAAGTAAGGTTACTGTTAACCCCCTCTAGCACCAGCTTTAGCAGAACTCAACATAGTTGCATTCTTGTCACCTTATAGTGTCCAAGTAGTTTAAAATGTAGACTTGAAGACACTTTTGGCCTGGTTTTAAAAGCTGTCATTTTGATAAGCTAGTTGTCTACCTTACAGAAAGTTTGTGATTCTATCCAAGTGTCTACTTATAGTTTTACCCGACATTATAAACAGGAGGTCAAGCTAGAATGTTGCTTTACCAACTTACTCAGGGGCATTAGCTGGTTTTTCCTTGTGCAAGTCACTTTGCATTCATTGCTTAGTACTGGTTGGTTCCAGGAACAGATTACAGAGTGTTTCAATAAGCTTATAGCTTCCAACACAAACCAAATTAAATTAGTATAATCTTACTTTCTTTGATAGATGGATCTTTAAAATGTAACAAAATAAAGTATGTAAATACTGGACATTCATTTTAATTTTGTTTCAGATCCTTCACACATAGTGACTGACATTTCACCTACACAAGAGATGCCAAATTCAGCTTCACAACTTCTTGCACAAGGGGCAGGTAATAACTTTATATAGATTATCTCAATGCATTTTGTTTTTATGAAATTTCTTATAAGAGGTTATTCTGTAGTCTTAAAAATTCTAAACAAAACTTGGTATTCAAGTACCTATATTTACCTCAATAGAGTTATAGAAATTCCCGTGTAAAGTAGGTCACTAGTTTCAATGGAAATATTCATTTCAAATATCTTGATTTTAGACAGAACTAAAACAGAATTGTCATGATTAATTTACAGTTTACTCAAAAGACTTAGGAGAGAAAATTTTGTTATATTTCAGCCTGCAATGTTGTGTACCTGAACTCTGTGGACACAGAATCTCTGACAGGGCCCCAGGCTGTGGCCAGGGCATGTAAAGTAACCTTTGAAAATCCACCCCCAAAAACCACTCAAGTACACTTCAAGGTGTCCAACCAAGGAATAACATTGACTGATAACCAGCGCAAGTAAGTCATCCTTAGATAATTCATTATTGACTTTAGGGGCTTTTAAAGTTAGAATGTTTCTCTTTCTTAGCTTCAAGGTGGTAAAAAATGAAACAAGACAACCAAATTTGTCTTATATCATCCACCAACTGTCCATAAGTAAGCTTGATAGCCTTTAAGGATTTTAACCCACAACAGTTAGGGGCTAATGATTTAAAGTCCATGTCATTGACCCCTCAGCCACTGAGGCACTCAAATCTATGATTGGATTGGATAATATAGAAAATAAAAGGGGCTTCTTGTTATGGTCACTGAGGTGAACTATTTGTTTCTTTTCTACTGTTGGTTCCAATCTGGTCAGGAATTTTGTATCATTTCATGTAAGGAGGTTATCCAGTTAACCCATTACATTATATACACGCCTTTTAACGCCTTTTTCACCCCCCCCATTTTGTTGTCTCAAATGGTGAAAAAAAGCCTTATTTAGGCCCCCAACACTTGCTTTTGTTTGAGAAATGTTGTTTAAAAAAGTGACCTCTTTTTCGGCGCAGCCCCCCAACCAAAAGAAAATTTTGGACTTGTGAGAGGCTATAAATGACCCCAGATTGATCATAAGGTAACGTGTGACCAACGCTGAAAAGCATTTGACTCTATCTCAATCCATTGAGAAGTTGCAGCACTTTGAAATCAATTTTGATGGAAAAAATCAACGCCAAATAGTGATTTTTTGCAATTTTGAGATGTCCCCTTGTTGCCATGGTAACAGAAAATTTAAGCCTGAGCATGTTGTTGCAAGGGCAATGGTCCAGTCAACATTTGTGCCAAGTTTGATTAGTGTTGAAGCAGTTTTTATAGTTTTATAGCAATTTGAACTTGTAACGGGAGACTTTTCAATGAAAACAGCCATTTTTGACAAAATGCTCATGAAGTAATGGGTTAACTTACATAGTTATCCACTTAGCTTACAGAGTTATCCAGTTAGCTTACAGAAGGTTAATGGTTCTATTCAGGTGATTTCTGAAATAATAAAAAGATGGGGAACATGTGCTCTTCTTCCTATAGTAATTGCTAGACTAAAGGGGGGGGGTGAAAAATACAAAAAGTAAATTAAAGTTGCATTGTCAGTTACATGTACTAGACTAGTTAAAAACAGAATGTGTGAAAACTTTGATTAATATAATACTATAACATTTATTTTTCTTGCAGGTTATTTTTCCGTCGTCACTATCCAGTTGCTGCTGTAACTTATTGTGGGGGTGATCCTGAAGACAGAAAGTAAGTCTTATATGAATAAACATAGTGTAATTTCCAAGTTCAGAACCTTTACCTGAAAAAGTACAAGTTAGAATTCCAATTCATGCTGTCATCCAATGTTTTGAGAAACAAACAATGAAATTTTTAAAGAAAGAGAGTTTCGTTTATGCTGCTTTGTTTAGTATTATTTTGCATTGGAAACACGGAGGAAGAAATAAATAATGTTTAAACTAAAATTTGTAAATTTTCTATGTCTAGCATCATACATGTGAACTTTTTTGATGATAAAGTGGGAGATTTTTCTTCAAAAAGAGGGAGATTTTAGAATTTGCAATAGACAAAGAAGGAAATTCTGACATCAAAAATAGGGAGATTTCTTTAATTTGTGAAAATACCCCTTATTTGAAAAAAAACTTTGAAAATATGGCTGCAGAAAGTGGGAGTCTCCCACTAAAAGTGGGAGAATTCACATGTATGTAGCATTGAGAAGGTTCATATATTTCTTTTATTAAATTACAATTTTTGTAAAGCATCAGATGTATATGAGTTATGGACTGCCAAAAATGCCAAAATTTATATGTATTAGTATGATACACAAAGGATTAAAAAAAACAACATGTATTTTTTATTCATATGCACAGCAAATTTTATCAGACTAAAGTTAATGTCTTGTTTTTTGTTTTGTTTTTTTTCTTAATAGATTTAAAATTTATCTTGTTTTCTTCTCTTTGTTTCTGTTTTAATGGAAAAGAAAGACCTGGATAATATTTTATTGAGTTTACCTTCTTTTTGCAGATGGCGTTGTAATACAGATATGCCAGGAGTTCAAGCAGACGCCCGAGTGTTCGGTTTTGTTGCCAGAAAGCAGGGATCTGTGTCAGACAACTGCTGTCATCTTTTTGCTGAAAGTGATCCTGATCAGCCTGCCAGTGCCATTGTTAACTTTGTAACAAAGGTCATGATTGGACAGGGAAAAATAAAGTCATAGCTGATTGGTTGACATGAAATTAAAAGAAACATTATAGAATTGTTTTGATTGGATGGTTCATTGTTTTATGCAAAATTTGTTCAGAGTGCCTTGCAGTGAAGGATTTAAAGAAAAATTATTGGTTGTTTAGAATATTAGTGCCAGATGATTGGTTAAAAAAGAATGCTTTAAAGGGTAGATCCAGATTTTGGTGAGAGTTGTGTTCAGATTTGATATTTTAAATAAAAAAAGGCTTAATGTCACTGGTTGTTTTTAGATATGTGATGTATTTATATTTTTGTGTTGTGACCATTTCTATCTTTTATCTGTACTCATGAATATTTTATAATGTATAGAAAACACCATATTGTAATGTGTTAGTGACTGGTGTAACATTGCTTTGAATAACATGTTATATGTTAGATAGCTAGGCAATGAATTTTTATTAAGGCTTGATTGAATGTAAATGTATTTTTGTATAGTAAATTTTTTTTTTTAAACTTTGAATATTTTTTTTCTTACGGAATTTTAAAAGGGTTATGTATGAAAATGAACATACATTGTTTCTTGCTTTATGTTTGAAACATTTCTTTATTTGTCATTTTTTATAAATAAATTTAAATTTATTCTGTTTTGTATGCATGGTGTAAATGACATTATTATAATTATCAATTGACATAGTGCTTTTTGCACAATATAATGCTTTATTACTACGTTTTGTTATTGACATAAATCATGTTAATTTTATTTATAAGATTTTGATGTACAAAGGGCATCATGTTAGTTTATCTGGAAACAAGGTCAGAATCTAGAAACAAGGTCAGACCAGTTCAGAAGGAAAAAAATGATGACTTTTTTTCTATATGATAATAATAAACTAAAGTAAAATATTGAAAAAGTAAGTCAAGCGAATTCATCTGAAAGAGATGTTTCATCAAGGTGTTGTACATGTATTCATATGACCTTTGTTGAGGTGTGAAGGTCAAACTAAATTATGTTTTGCATATTATAACCGATATATGCTCTATTTTTAGTAATGTTACATATTTTTATTGAATTCATTTTTTTATAAAATGTTTTGGATGAAAGGGAAAAAAAGAACATTTTTACCCATTTAAAATTGTATTTATTCTTCCGGTTTTTGAGTCAGCAGGGTTCTGATTTGAGATGACATTGTTCGTACAGAATAAAAATGTTGACAATGTAAAAATGCATGTGAAAGATGTGTATATTATAGTATATATATATTAATATTTTATTTAATATTTGTTGTAAAGTGTTATGCATTTTTTAAAACAAACAGTTTATGCCTTATTTTTGTTGTTTGAAACCTATCTTCACCCCGTAGAAGATGTTTTTGAGATATCCATGATTTTTTTTCTGTAACCATGGTGATTATTTATGTGAAGTTTTATGATTATGATAAGGTTATTTCATTTAAATGAAAAGAATATGTATGGTATAGTCTAAAATCATGATCAATGTAAAGGCATCTTTTATAAAAAAAAATAAAATTTAAGTAGTACTAAACATTATGTAATTATTATTATCTTTATTGACTCATTTTTAATCTGAAAAAAAAATGGCTGAGGATTTTAATTTTGCATCATGTTTTTATTTTACATTTGTTTACGTGTTAACGTCTTTACATTTTGTTCCACACATTTGATAAATATGTCATTATCAATGTAAACATGTAAGAATGTATTTATTCGTATTTGTTAATGCTTTTGGGCCTTCTTGATATTATGAGGAAAAAGATCTGAGAGAAAGACTTAACAAGGAAGGGAACCAGTCAGAAGTACCAGTCTCAAATTTAAAAGCATACTCACGATTGGTCAATTTCAAGATCTGTTTTCCTGAACAGCCAATCACAAGGTACTTTACAAAATTGTTTGGTTTTGGTCACTGGTGATGAAAAAAGCTTCATTTTAATGTTGGCTATTTACCATTTATTGGAGGGTTTTATTAATCAAAACATTAATAGATGATAAACCCTCGGTTGAAAAGCCAATCAATGGCCTTGGAGATAGAGAAAGAGAGAAAGAAATTTTACTTCGGAACTAATTCTTGAAAAACATTTCAAGAGCAATTGTTACTGATTTTAGTTATGGATTTTTTAAAGGTGCTATATCATGTATTTGTTGTATATGTAATATGCGTTTTTTATTCTCGTCACATTACGAAAATTTATCATGCCAAGTTAATGCTTTCTAGTTACCACTATTGTACCTCTTATTTAATAACGCTTGCATTTTTTAAAAAAGTAAAATTATGCACAATAATATATATATAAGAACAAATAATTTACCTCAATTAATTATGTATATTCTATCACAATTTACTGACTAAACAATAACAGAATTGGTTTTCCTTTTTTTTTTCGTTGGCCATCAAAAATTAAATATTTTGAAGATGTTTATATAGTTTTGTTCAAAACTTCCTGTGACAAATCAGAAAATATGCTGTAGACTTCCGTGTTGACATGAAAATAAAATTCATTCACGACTGACTCAGATTTATGCCTGACCAAAACAAATCCAGTCAAAACCTTGAAATTTAAGAGTCAGTAAATTAACTTTTTAGAGTAAGTAAATGAGGATAGATGGTTTTCTTATTCTGGAATGATTCTCTAAAATATTGAATAAAACTAAGAACATCGATCTATTGAATGACCTGATAGTAGTATGGTTAGTATATTGTTATCGACTTGATACGTGGTCTAAGCTGGAAAGAAGAATATATAGATATATATATAAACATAATTTGGAAGGTAAGACTACTGTGATATGTTTAAACTATTTAAAAATATGATTATCATAAAGTACAAGATCTCTCTTAAATTTACCCCAATATAAGTTCTCAACTCTAAACCAAAGTTGTTTTATTTTTCATTTGTTCTTTATTTCTGGTTGATAGTATATTTTTTCTCACATACTGTTGATGTCTTAACCTTTCAATCAAAATGTTATTTCTGATTTTTTTACTGAATGATTCATCTTTATATAATATGAAAAAATATAAAATCAACTCTCCTATTGATAAAAGGACACGGTCTTTTTTTTCTCTGAAATTTTGTGTTGGAACACGAATTTAGAACATCAAAAAACAACTTTCTATATATCATTGTTAAATCTGCTTTTTTTGTTTAGATTGTTAGTAATTGGGGTCTTTCTATGATATGGTCAATACAAAAGTTAACTCCCCTTGTAAGCCATTTTTGAATTTGTAACCGAGCAAAAACTCAAAAAATATATATATATTTAAACAGTTTCTTGGTAAAAGCAGTATATGTTAAACATCTGTTATGTATTATCAGTTTTTAAAAAGTAATGTCATTTAAGCAAAATTAACTAAAATGGCTTTCAAGGGAAACAACCTGCAATGGGAAGTAACTCACGATAAAATGGCTGCCAAGGGGAGCAACCCTTGCTATAAAACATGATTATCATAGGAGACCTCAATGATTTAGGATTGTTAAACAAAATGTCATACTGTGTATCTATATATATCATGAACAAATAAACGTTCATAAAAAAATACGGCTTGATTTTAATATATTTTATCTTATATTTTATGACCATATACATTGTATTTGTTTTTATGTTTCTGGTTTAATTTACTGTCACTTATATGCCACGCCCAATGTAGACTAAGAGTTGTTTTATTTTGTTCGGAGGTAGGGCATGTTTATAACAGTTTCAAGAGGTGACCATCTGAACAAGCCCAATGCACAGATATATTGGACCTTACTTCTTAAGGTCTCAACAGAAAATAAAACAAAACAACCCTAAAACGTAACTATGCTATTGGTGTATATGAGGGATTGAACTAACTTTTCCTGGATTACTAAATGAGCGTTTTACCACTAGATTATTTGTATAGTTTCATTTCAGATATACATATGGCGAATGAGTGATGAAGATTGCCTACTTGTAATCACTTGTCACCTATAGATTTCGTATACTTTATGTGAAAGTAATCTATCCAGCCAGCTTACGAATGGTCAGTGGTTCTATTCTTCTGCTTAGGGGCGCCATTAGTCTTCATGGAGGAAAAAAGCTTGTTCTGTAAAGTTGAACCATGGTGCTTACAGTACCGAAGTGACTTACCGTATACCACAACATTTTTTATTTGTATCAAAACCTTTGTAATAAAACAAAAAAGCACGAAAGTATAAGGGTTTTGACATAACACAGGATTTTGACCAGTAGCCTGGCACCGATTACCGCTGTAAATGGATCGCTAGTCAAATAAGAAATACAGTCAAACATGTGAGCAAAGGTCATCTAAGTAAGAGACAAAGCATGCTCTTTATAAACAAGTGATCTTAATTTTGAGGTCATTCTATTAATAACTGTATGACAATTCAAAGCGAATTCGATATCCTGCAACTCTCTGGTGCTTCGCCTCCCTCTTGCTCAGAAAGAGACTGTCGTACTTAAACGTATGACACTGGTCATAAAACCTATTCGATCATTTGAAACAAGAAGTATCTTTAAAACAAAAGTACTCGGCCGAAGTAAAACTGGTGGGGTTATTACTCTTGAAGAAATTGGTACACTTTTAGATGTATATGTTTCTAAACGAACCTGTCGTGTTTCGGTAAGTGAATTCAATTTCTATCTCCGTGTTTAAGAAATTCGGACACAACATGTAAGCATGATGGAAATACTTTAAACTTCAATTATGATTCACAGACAGACTAAACATTTAAAAAAGCCCCTGATAGTTGTTTCCTCCGTTTGACTCGATTAAACTTAGATTTTGTGTAAAATAAACCATATTCGAGATGAAGAAGAAAGTTCGCTAAAATGTAAAAGATCTGAATGCAGTGTAAAGGAGTATTTTATTAAATCATGAAAAATTCTGAGCAGTTTGCAACTAAAAAGAAATATGAAAACTTGCTTATGGGATATGATGTTTTAAATTTAAATTTTCTTCGAAACTACAAAAATTATGCTTGTCTAAAATTGTAATAAAATGTTATATAAACATAGGGATTTAATTTCAGGGCTATCTTAATATAAACATATTCCTAAACTAACCTTTAATCTCTAGGTGCTACGACATATCATGGCACCATCAAAAACTTAGTGTTTTTAAAAATGGTGAAAGAATATATTTTATTACAGTATGTATATGAATTGTCTGAAATATGTAAATGGACAGATCCATGGCGCGCGTCACAAAAACCACTATTTGAAACCCAAAGCATGGACAACACGGGATAGCGATCACAGCCATGTGTGCTCCTATCAAAAACTGATGCGCGATGCGCAGGCTGGTCTGGATCCATGCTGGTCGCAAACGCATTACGTTGGTTTTCTCATGACGCGTCTCATATCATTCCACTGACACGAAAATTATTCCAATGTGTCTCTCCCCTAACTTAAGGGGATGGGGACATTTATATTTGCCCTGGTCTGTTCGTCTCGTTGTAACACTGTCATGCTGTCACACTGTCATTTTATAGACAGACATAACAGTGACATGCTGGGGCATCCATTTTACTTATAGAATGTAAAGGAGATCTCTCATACTTGTCGTCTGACAGGAGCTTAAAGCACTAACTGTTTCTTCTTTACTTGGAATTTCAAAGAAAAAGTGCAGACATTTTGAGTTTGACTTTGGATATTTATATAGAACTTTGAGAGGCATCTTATCAGTATCTCTAGTGTTAGTAACGTCCTTGGATGAGCTAAAAGATGTTTTCATTAGTAGTTTTTATTCATTTTTACATAGACAAAGACATAAAAAAATTAGACTAACCGAAAATAATTTTCTTTAACCCGGTTTAATTTCCTTCTTTGTCAAAAAATGAAGAACTCAAGGAAATGTCTATAAGTATAATTTTAGTTTCCATGAAACTGGCGTTACGTGTTCTACAGTCGGCTTTAATGGCGTTCCATATTTTTTTAAATGCATCCAAAGGCAAACAAAAAATTACAAAAAACACAAGTTTGGTACTTTTTCTTTTCATTTCTTGTGTTTGGAACTTCTTCTTTTTCACCTCTTTTTTTCACCTCTTCGCTTGAAAGTATCACCACGGATTTATATTACAATCCGTGGTATCACAAAATTCTAATTATAATTAAATTTTAATTAAAAGCAAACTATAATATAAGTCGGGGTTTTATTGCAATTTACTGTATCACAAACAATAACATTGCCATCACAAAGCATATTGTTTGTGGTTTCTAAAAACCCATTTCATAAGTTACTCAGCCCGGGCAAAAGTACAGAAATTCAATATGGCCGCCAATTTGTCGAAACATTTTTCTTGCAATTTTTTTATTAAAAAAATACTGTTTTTTTTTCTCTCTTAGATAACTTTAACATACAAACTTTCCTTTCTTTAATCAGTAAACTTTAAATTACGACACAATAAGGTTCTAAATTGATAGTCTCTTTAATAATACAAATATGGCACATGTTTGTTCCGTCCCGTAAAAAGGTGATACACACAGTTGAATATTTTTCAACATTCGCTATAGTCATATCTTGCACTGGTTAAGTCCCCGCAATAGTTCGTCCATCTGGCCCTGGTATAAATAAGAAAAAAAGCATGTAATAATTGATGAACATTGTATATCAAATTAGTTACAGGTGACATGGGAATAAGGGGACGGAGATGGCGGTGTGTGTGGGAGTTGCAGTGGGGGATGCGTCATGGTTTAGTAAATAATATGTTTTTTTTCTGTACGTGGAGAAATGTAAAAAGATTTGTTATAATTACATTTAAACAAGATTGTAGATATTAAACTGTTGGAAAGTAGTTTTTTCATTATATGCCTTTAGGGATTTAACCAAAATTCAATGCAAATAGTTCATAGCTAACTTAAACTGTATTTGCTTTCTATATCTTACAAACTGTTTTTTTTTTACAATTAAATCTTTTTTTTTTGCCACAACTTTATAAACGCCGTTGTGTAAAACATACACTAGAGACTTGACAATGATGTTTGTATTCTTAGTACATGTATTTCTTTTTTTCCAACATAATGTACTGGTAAAAAAACAACACAAGAATTCATTATATCATTTAACCGATATTCACTAAAGTGCACAGGGACGTTAAAGAGAAAAGAAACGTTTAAAGACATTTTGTTCAATCTTCCATGTTTATAAGTGGGCCTTATGGCCACAACGGTGTCCGCGGGGACGTGCTAGCAGCAGGGGAGTACTTTCAAGTGCAGTGCATGTAACACACTGTATACACATTATTTTGTATTAAAAAGTTATTTCCCCTTGCAAATTAAAGGAGTTCGGTGTCATCAGCGGGATGATACCAGGTTGAATTTTCTGTATAAGAAAGGGTATATTAGTATGTAAGTTATTTAGCAATACATAATTACCATGCGCTAAATCCTTGACATTGCTTGATCCTTACAGCGCAGTAGGCGTCGTTAGAGATATCTTCATTCAGTAAACCTGTTGATAATAAGTCTTTGTTTAAATATATCTAAAAAAAAAAAAAAAAAAAAAAAAAAAAAAGTTTTTTTTTTTTTTATAATTAAACCCTATAGGAAATATTCGTATTTATTAATCCGATATCTATTGTGTCGTTTTTATATTTTGATGCTTTGTTTGGTGCACTTATCTCTTTTATCATGAATTGGAATTGTTCGTATTTGTTCGTTTTTCCGCTAAAGTGGGCGTGACGTTAATTGTAAAATTACGACGTCACGTCCGTTGATATTATTATTATTTATTTACCTTGAAAAAGGCATACAAATGCCGAAACGTTGGAAAAAAAAAAAGATATTATACGTGTTATTGCTGTGACTTTATTATTTTAAATATATCTAAAATAACATTTATGAGATCAGATACCGTTAGAACAAAACACCAAGACCAACAGGAGCATCTGTATTGTAATATAGTCATATTGTAATATAGAACTCCATGGCTGTTTTATATTGTTCGTTTTTAAGTGATACTTTTACGTTCAAACAGACAATAAATAAATTGGAAACAAAACTGATTGATATTAAACCAGAAACCAGTATGCAGTACATCAGTGTATGAAACCATAGAGGAAGCATATATATACTAGTAGTTGATTTTTGAAATTTATGATACCAATTTTTCAATATATGGTACCAATTTTGTCATGAATGTAACCACATATTTTTTATTGAACCTTATTTTCAATATATAAATGATAAACGAAACAGCGTCATCACTGTATGTAACCATAATAGTAATACATAAATTTTGACACTATATGATACCCATTCTTCAATATATGACACAAAAGCAGCAATGTATGGAATCAGATATCCTTATATGAAACCGAATTACTGAATATATTAGTTCACTTTAAGATCATTTGAAACCATTCTATAAGTTTATGGAACGGAAACAACAATATAATTATGAGTTCATGTTGACATTAGATGATACTGATTCTTCGATACATGGCACAGAAAGTGTCATGTATGAGCCAGATGTAGTTATATGAGACCGAGTTATCAAAATAAAAGTTATCTCTTACAATATATGAGACCTTACCGCCAGTGCATGTAACTGAAGTACTATTAACTGATTTTCAATCTATGATACCATGTTATCAAATTAATGGAACCGAAGTAACAATATGCAGTCTACTTCGCTTATAACGAGATCGGTTTTAGCGAGATACCGCTTATAACGTACACTCTACTGTGTTCCACCCTTTTTCCTTCAATTTTCCTTTCATTTTATACCATTTATAACGATGTCGGTTTCAGCGAGATATCGGTTAAACGTAAAGTAGACGATTCAGATATTATATAGTACCAATTCTTCAGAGTAGCCATTGGAATATCAAATACTGTACTATTCGACAAATCTACCCTTGTGATCCACAAGTCTACCCTAGTGATCCACAAATTTACCCTGGTGTTCTACAAATTTACCCTGGTGTTCCACAAATTTATCCTGGTGTTCCTCGAAAATTCTTTATCATGTAGGTTTAAGTTCTATTTGAAGTTTCATAATTTCACTTTGAAACTATATGAATTGAAAACCCAATCATATCCACTTGGAAGCCATTAGATAAATCAAGAGTAACAATATATGAAAAAATGAATGAGACCAAGGTAGCAATAGATCACTTCATTTTGACATTATATTAAACCAGATGTTTTTATATGAAATCAAATTATCAGTATATATAGATAAGCTAAATTTTACAATTGATGAAAACACGGCAATAATGATTGGTGCCGTAGCATCTATACATTAGTCGATTTTGACACTTTGTGGTACAAATTCTTCAGCAAATGGCTCCAAAGTGTCAATGTGTAGAATCAAATGTCGTTATGTTAAGGTTTAGTTTAGTTTAAACATATTTTATTCCTTTCAATTTTTTACAATATGTACAATGCAAATATATAGAAAGAAAAATATATAAATACATTTTGAAAGAAAAAGGGTTGGACCACAAGTTCAAATAACAGAAAAAGGGTTGGACCACAAGTTCAAATAACAAGAAAAAGGGTTGGACCACAAGTTCAAAAAACATGTTAAGGTGATTTCGCTTTGTCAGCCAGTTTTGTTTTCACTAAGTGGGTCCAAAGTGAAAGTAAGTCAAAATTCATATAACAACAAAGCTCACAATGTAAAATGATGAACCATGGTGAGCCTCAGAGCGAAATTTATCGAACACATTGAAAGTAATAATATTATATTCGCCAGAGGCCAGCAAAATTTATATTTATTCAATTCTTTTGATAAATTCAATTGTCAAGCTACGAGGGGTGTTCAAATATGAATGGAACTAGGCAAATATCTCGCTTTTAACCACGTTTTGCACGAACTATAGACTAAACATGTATCGCATAGATGGTTGCGTAAATCAGTTCAGACTAGCTTTGACAATTGCTGGATTAACGCTATCTACTCGTGTATACTAGAGCTGAAATGGTTGGGTTCACTGACCAAATACGGTCCTATATCAAGAACCGCTGTATTGGCGAAATACATATTTAATGAAATATGTCGTGTTTATGGGCTCAATAGACTGTCTTGTCACACAGTGGTGTAAGAAATTTAAAAGTGGTGTTCATTCAGTAAAAAAGATGCACCTTATCCACACCATCCGAAAACTGCAACTTCGCCAAAAATGGTTGAGAAAGTAAAGAATTTGATTGCTATTGATGCAAGATTTACAACTAGGTATATAGCTAATTGCGTTGGTATCTCTGTACAATGCTCAGACGTGATTTAAAATGAGAAGGATATGTGCCAGATGGATACCCCACCTCCTTACAAAAGACCAAAAGCTTGCTCGGGTAAGAATCTCCAAACAAATGTTGAAACAGTTCCCTAAATACAACAATCGATCTTTCGCAAATAATTTTTTAACATCGCTTATGATGAGACTTGGGTTCACCTGTATGAACCAAAGCGAAGATACATATTAAAATATGGGCAACCAAAGGAAGTCAAAGACCTTGCATAACAAACCCACCATGAGCGTCAAAAATTTTCTTTACCAATCAAGGTCCTGCTATTAAAATTGTCGTATCAAAGGTAAATCTGTAAATGCCAAGTTTTACAAAGGCAAGGTCCTTCATAAATTAAGGAAAAATTTCAAAAACCGTCGACCAGCAACTTGTCTCTGTGGTGTCAGGTTGTTGCATGGGAATGCTTCGTCACACAAAGCGGCCATTGTACGAGAATATCTGATCTTGCCCCTTGTGACTTTTTCTTATTTCCGAACCTCAAATATCATTTTGCTGGAAGAAAATATCAAACACGAACAAAAATCTTGGTTCGGCTATTTCCAGTGTCTAAACAGTATACCTCGAAAATATAATAAAAACGCATTTAAAAATTGGATTTAAAGACTAAAAATTTGTATATAACATGGTGATGAGTATTTTGAAGAATTGGGATAATTATTTTGGCACTGTTTGTTAATCATTTCTGAAAATTGACCGAGTTGCATTCATATTTGAACACTCGTCGTTATGGTGGCTGATTTGGTACACTTTACGCGTAGTGTTGTCGATAGCGACAACGCAACCTATATCGTTATCACCTTTTCGTCTTGTCGCTAGCGAAATGCTCCAAACGGCGCATTGTCGCACTGTCGTCTTGCCGTCCTGTCTCTAGAGAATCAAGCCAACCGGCGCATTGTCGTGCAGCGCGTTGTCGCGATGTCGCCCTGTCGCTTGGCTCTGTCGCCAATCCTTCGATTTGAGCCGAGCGACTATGTGACATCGCGAGAACACGCCACACGATAACGCGCCGTTTGGCGTACATCGTTAGCGACAGGACCACATGACGCTTTGTCGTGCTTTCGCTAGTGACAACACGACGCACAAAAGCGTTCCAAATCAGCCACCATACCTCGTACCCTTTACTTACTGCTGCACGTGTCACTGCATCCATATGTGTTAAACATCCAGCACGTCGTACCATTATACCCGGATGGTCTGTCACACCAAATATCATTTAGTTGGAATATGCCAGAGTCATTATATTGTCGCAAATTGTACTGATATCCACTTTCTTGCTCTACCAAACACACCCCTGACAGAAAATAATAAAG